CGACACCGAAACGCCTATCCTATTGTCCGGCCCTGTGTATAGTACTTGATATTTGGTCTATTTCATTTCAGATAATCATCACCTCGCCTAGACGGACTCTCCGCCCTCGGCGTTCTTCCACGATCCAGCGTAGTGGTGGATCACCAGCGAGGGGCCCACGACGGTGCCCTCGGGGTATCGGTTCATCGACGCGGCGAGCGAGAAGCCGGGGAGCAGGACGGTGTCCTCGATGAGCGCGGGCTGCGTCAGGTTGGCGTACTTGAGCACGTCGACCTTGTGGTTGTAGTTGTGCTCCAAGCTCTTCCACAGGCTGCCGGTGAAGCGGATGGGGCCCGTGAAGAGCACCACGTCGTCGACCATGTCCATCCTGATGCCCGAGGCGGTCACGTTGTTCTGCTCCATGATCTCGTGCGCGCGCTGGATGATGTCCTCGACGACCTGCCACAGGTGGGGGGACTTGGGCTCGGCGAGGATGGTCCACGAGTTGATCTGGCGCATGGCGTTGGCGCCGTAGGGCGAGTCGAACTCCCACCCGACTACGAGTCCCGTGTTCTCCTTGTATTCCTTGGGGATCCAGTCGTCGATGGGGACGGTGCCGCACGAGACGTCGAGGTCGAACCAGATCCCGCCCTCGTGGTAGAGGACGAGGTAGCGGAAGATGTCGGCCTTGAGGATGGGGACGGTGAGGCTCAGGTAGATGTCGAGCAGCTCCTTGTGGTCGGCGTACGTGGTGCGGACAAACTCGTCGCTCTGCTCGTCGTCCATGACCTGGCTCGTGTACCCGGGGTTGCGGTGGAGGCAGCCGGCCTCCCAGTCGAGCATCTCGAGGGTGCGCTCGCGTTTGCCCTTCTTGTACCAGATCTTCTTGGGAATGCGCGACACGGGCGTGGGCGGCACGGGCGGGTGCGAGGGAGTGGGAGGCAGGATGAGCTCGTCCTGGTCGTGTGTGGTGTTGTGCGACGGGTTTGACGGGCCCTTGATCGGTCCAGGACCCGGGCCTGGTGCGGTGACGAGGTGATCGGGGAGGTTGTCGGGAGGAGGAGGAGGGCTGTTGAAGCTGCCGTCCCACGAGGGTCGGAAGAACATGTGCAGGAGGATCAGCGCGATGCAGAATGACGCCAGCATCATTGCCTTGCTGCTCCGCACGGGAGCCGGGAGCATCATGAGGCCCTTCATGATGGCGATGGGAAAAGAGAAAAGAATGGAAGCGAGTTGGCCAGTTGCGTGGGTGGAGGGATGATCTGAACAGCGCCTGAGAGCAAGCAAGCAAGCAAGCGAGCGAACGAGCGTAAGGGCTGGCAGCGAGATTCTCTGGGGCAGCGTCAGAAGATCAGGTCAGACCAGATCAGAGCAAGAGGACGAGGAAGACGTCGTGATAAGTATTGGCACAGACAAACGGCTGGAGTACACCATCCCACTTTTCAGCGTGGGCTGCCACAGTCTGGGTCCTTGGGGGAAGGGGAGACAATGCTTGAGGATTTGGACATTGGTGGGAGGTGGGAGACGTCTGGGCCGGGATGCCACGCCCAGCTATTTTAGTTCGTTTAGCCTCTTCAGCTGCCCCCAGGCGCCGGTGTGTGGCAGGCTGGTTTTGGCGATTATCCAAACCTTGCAGATGGAATGGCGGGACCAGGTTACATTCCATTGGCGGGCACCGGGAGGCCTTGGGATGATAGGGCAGAGGCAGGCCGAATGCGACGGTCGGAGCCAGCCACGCTCCCACCGCTGCAGCAATACGAGGGAAGGTGAGGGTTTTGGTCCCGTTGGGATGCCACCTTCTTCCCGTCCAGGCATTTCGATATCTGCCATCCGTTCCTCGTCGAGGGAGATACTCAACCGAGCGAGGGCAAGCATCTCGTCCGCCAGCGGGACAGCGGAATAGGGGGCACGACATGGCAGCACGCACTACCCGATGTACTACAGATGCTGCTAGTGCCTGTAGTTTGTAATATTACGGCGGGGCATTGATGATGATCGCAGGCCTCCTGGACCCAGATTCAAACTCCCACAGTCCCGGCCACAGCCCTCTGGCTGCCTTTGTGGCACTCCAAGCACAGGGGTGCTCCCGCTACGAGCCATAGTGCCAGCCATTATTTGAAACAATTTGCTTGAATTCCCCAGCCAGTGTCGACTGCTGGGGGAGGCCACACTGTTTCACCCGCCAGCGAGATCCAGCCCTCCAGTGCGTGCCCGCACCGGGTCTGATGATTCGCGATCGCCCATCTGATTGTTCGGCTTGCTTTGTTGCCTCCTGGTGCATTGCCTGCATGTCGTCTTGCCCCTGACTACTCAAACCCCAAACCTTTGTTCCGACGGTGCAGAGAACAGGCTGTGGATCATTTCCTCGGACAATGTAATGCGTCTGACTGCCAAGACGGTGGCTTGCACATCCATCCACATTTCATTCGCCTTCGGGGGTACAGGCCAGATAACGACACGGGCGGGAAGGCAAACAGACACTGAAGAAAATTGTCTCCCTACTTAATCAGTAGTCAGGGACCAGACCCTGGATCACAGGTCCGGCAGGGCTAGTCGCGAATCTAGCCGCCTTCCCAGCTTCTCGACCATAGATAGCCCGTGCGGATGGCGAGAAAAACTGATACCCAACAGAACAGACAGTGACCTCTGTCTGCGGGTCTGGAATCCTTCATTGTGCGCCCCATCGGCCCATACGACCTGGTTGGCTTGCTCGTTTGGGCTGTGTCAGCATCCCCCTCACAGCCGGTTTGATCTCTCCCATCCCATCTCCTAGACCAGACCAGACCAATCTCATGTGTAGCGTGGGCAGCGGCAGCCTGTACCGTATTGCCGTAGTACTATCGTATGATAGCGCTGGCGTCCGCCTTTTGATTGCCTCCTGGCCAAGCCAAGAGTTCGTACTCCGTTTTTGACACCTCTTGGCAGCGAAATCATCCAATGGCTCGTTATTTGACCAACGAGGCCTGATGACTCTTTTGGTCCTTCAATATCGTGAATCCATACAGAGCATAACCTGTCCTGATTTATGTGCGCCACTATCCCTGGCAATTCCATTTGCGTTTCATCAACCGCAACCGGACCACCACAACCTGTTTGACTCTCTAGTTAGTCAATAATCGGCTCTAGGCAGCTGCTAGCTACCAAAGTTAATTGATTACATACTCCATACCATAACCGTCGGCGGATATTATCACATATCGCGAGTTAGCGTCAGCCCGGAGTGCATTTGTCAAATGCCCGCTGTGACAAGAACGGCCTTCAAGCAAACACCACATAATCATTCGGGGCTTATGTATGATGGATGAATCACGCACACTGTTTGTAATCAGATGGAAGACGGGTATTGTGTATCAATTAGAAATCGACAGTTCTTATTAATTGCGACCTGTTGGACAACTTCTGGAATATAAAGATGATTCTGGTTCGCAAAGAATTCTATGAAGGACTTCATCAATCAAATATACAATTACCAATTAATTGACCATATTCACAATGACCTCTTCTCGCATCTTCATCACCGGTGCTACCGGTTTCATAGGCTCGCAAGTGGCCGCCTTCACCCTCCGTGCAGGGCACCATGTTCGACTCAGCGTCCGGAGCGAGGACCAGATCCAGCTTCTGAAATCCAGATTCTCTGAGTATGTCCGCCAGCTGGAATTTGTTGTAATTACCGACCTTAGCAACTCCGATGCCATCAAGAATGCACTGGGAGGTGTGGAGTACATCTTCCACCTGGCATCACCTATGGTTGGAGCAGGGTCTGACTTCAAGACTTCATACGTCGACCCTGCCGTCAAGGGCACAGTTTCCGTCCTAGACGCAGCAGCAGTCAAACCGGATGTGAAGCGGGTTGTGGTAGTATCCTCCGGGTTTGCGTTCATGCCCATGGGCGGATTCGCGATGCCGGGCTTGAAAGTTTATGGTAAACCTTGTTCTGACTATTGCAACTCTCACCGTTTGAGCTAACGCATATGCAGAGAACTCAAACCGGTCGATCGAGGTCGACATGGACATGGAGTTCCCGGAAGATTTCATCGGGGAAACTCTCAAGTATCAGGCATCCAAAATTTTAGCCCACCGGGCCACCCTCGATTGGATTGCCGAGACCACACCGAGCTTTGACCTAATCACCCTCCACCCGAGCTTCGTCCTCGGGGAAGACCTGACGCAGGTGGACGAAACACCCAAGGGCGTCAATGGCCTCTTTGTAAACTCCCTCCTGTCGGATAAACCCATCATTCCGAGCTCCTTTGTTGACGTCCGAGATGTGGCCATTGCTCACCTGAAAGCGTTGACTGCCCCAGTTGGCCCCCGAGGAACAGTGACTGAGGCCATCATTGACGGGCCTACTATCGATTGGGACACGATTGTCAAGTTTGTAGGTGATAATTATCCGGAATTTCCCTTGAAGCTATCGGGACCGTTCCCAGAGGGTATGACGATGGACAACTCGCGGGCGGAGCGTGAGTTTGGGATCAAGTGGCACACGTCTGAAGACACTATTCGGAGTGTGCTGGATCAGCAGGTGCAGCTCAAGAAGAAGGCATCTTTGTAGCTTACTGGTGGGTGTGGAATGCGACGAAGAGAGCCCCATTGTGTAACAATATCAAGATAGACTGTGGATGAATCTGAACAATGCCACTTGTGAATTTACAATCTTGGTTTTATTCTGGTCTGAAAGTTGCTTGTTTTGGTTCTTTACACATCTTGCTTTCCAAGGTGAACAGAGATCATTTCATAGCAACAATATGGTCCATTTGTGACACTGTTAAATAGTCACATGCGCACTCCTGAGTATTGTAATTTGTTGTTGCCATGGCACGGGAAAGTTGTCTCAGCGTAACTAATCCCATCTATATCGGCCACATTGCTATATGGATATATGTTAGTTGTATGGAGCGGAATATATAAGCCAAGAACTTTGCCCGAGAGGATGTAGTTATGTTGTAGGATATAATGTGGTGATAGCTATTTTGTTTGAGAACTAGGGGAATTGGCTATGGTTCGAATCTGGACGCTTGCTATATGATACTTATTCCATACTTCTTGAAGTCAAAAGCCTCGAGACTCGAGATACATTCTGCCCACCCGTCATCAACTTCCCCTAGCTGCCACTCTTCCCCAAGGTTGGATGTCCCACACCTCCCGGCCAAGACATCTTCCTTCCTCGACTCGTATTCCTTTGCTACGTCCGGGTGCGGCACCCAAATCACTCGCATTCCAGCTCTCCGTCCGGCCTCGACTCCGGTTACGCTGTCCTCAAACACCAAACACTCGTTGGGCATTATGGGTTTCTGGCTGTCTGAGTTTAAAACTTGTAGTGCGAGCAGGTATGTATCAGGTGCTGGCTTCCCTCGTCCCTGGCGCAGCCGAGGATCCCCACCCAAAACCCTACGATCAGGGTGAATATGGTCGAGAAGCCGTTTAGTCTCGGGCTGCGTAGCTTTCAAATCGAAGCTCTCTGTTTTGGTGCTGGACGCAAGTCCTAGGAGAATCGGCTCTCCATTAATGTTGCGTGCATGGCCGAGGGCCGAGAGGAGCTTCTCCGAACCGGGCATTGGCTTGCAGTTGGGAAAATTTTGATATATATCTTCTTTATATTCATGAGCGAATTTCTCGCGTGTAATTGGTAGCCGAGCCTAGTTGTGAAAGATATCATTGTTTGTTGAGTCCGGCACACCCATGATCTGAGCGCGAATGGAGCCGGTGATGGCAGGTCTCCCATACTTTTCTAGGACCCGGTTGATGGAATCTGTGATGATATCTTCCGAGTTGATGAGAAGTCCGTCCATGTCGAAGATGCAAGCCCGAACTGCGGGGAAGCTGTGAACGGGTGGTCAGATTCATCTATAATGTCATATAAGATTTCTCTCGCGATGGACTGTACCGAACATTACTTACTCTCCGTGAGGGATACCCAGTTTTCCAGGTTCAAAGCTGTGTCAGTAGGAATCACTCAATGAGCTTAGGTTGTTTCTGTTCTGTCGGGCGGGGATATGGGAGTTGATGGATTATGGTGTGGTGGTATCTTGGAGAATCTACCCCATGTATTGGCACCTGTCTCGGAGCACGCGTTTAATTGAAGCAAGACGTTTTGGGATCAAGCCGATATCAACATTCGAGACTACTGTTCTACAGGTGAATCACCATCTAGTTGTGAGTTCATCGCACATGATTTCTTAAATTTCGATCTATCTATCTTGCAATTTTCTTAGTCTGGTTAGATCTCGCCGTCCTTGTACAAGCCCGCCTCTTGTCCAACGATCTGCAGAGCGAGAAGCTTGGAGTAGTATCGGCAGAGTGCCAGGTTTCCTCCGTGGAACCAGAATCCAGGATGGCCGCTCCTCTGCCAGATGGTCCTCATCTCTCCCTCGGCATTGAATCCCCACACATCAGTCACCCGGTCCGCTACATCATCTCCAAACATCAGGCGGGTCTGTGTTCGCATGTTCTGATACCCAGTCGCAAAGACGATCTCATCGGCTTCGAGCTCGGTGCCGTCAGCAAAGCGCAGCCCATTGGGAAGCACCTCGTCAATCTCCTGGCCCTGCTTGACCTTGATCTTACCATCGACGATAAGCTGACTGGCTCCCACATCGATGTAGTAACCGCCTCCACGCTGGAAGTACTTGAAGAAGAGGCCGGCTTCATCGGGGCCTCGGTCAACCTTGAACCCGGCCTTGGCCAGTCCCTCCAACGTCTCCTTGTCATGCACCTTCTGCAGCTCATTGACCTTGACCTGGTGCGCCTTGAGAACAGAAGTAGGGAGGCCGTGGATCAGGACGTCTGCGTCATCGACGGGGGGTCCATACTCATCGTAGATCCCCTTGAGAGCAATGTCTGTGATGGCCTTGGATGACACGACGTGTGTAGTTGATCGCTGCACGATGGTGATATCGTACCCCTTCTCCACAAAGTCCTGAGCAATGTCGTGTGCGGAGTTGCATGAGCCTACAACAATGGCCTTCTTGCCTGCAGCGTTGGCGCGGGCACCGGGAAATTCGGAAGAGTGGCAGAGACGATGGCCCTTGAAGTTCTCGATACCCTTCATCTCAGGCATGTTCTTCTTGCCCGAGTGGCCCGTAGCCTGGATCAGGTGGCGAGGATGGAACGTCCTGACCTCGCTGGTGCCGTCTGCCCGTTTCCGGTTGACGATGACGGTCCAGATCTGCTTTGCATCGTCCCATTTCGTGTAGACGAGCTCCGTCTTGGTCCACACGTTCAGCTCGAGGAGCGTCGCGTACGCCTCGAAGAAGTCGGCGAGCTTGTCCTTGGGCGTGAAGATGGGCCATTGGGATGGGAAGTTGAGGTACGGGAGGTGATCGTACCACACTGGATCGTGCAGGACAAGCTGGTGGTATCGGTTGCGCCAGTTGTCGCCGATGCGGTCCTCCTTGTCGACGACGAGCGTTTCCACGCCCATCATCTTGAGTCGAGCGGCAGCAGTTAAACCGCCCTGACCAGCGCCTAGAGGTTTTCACTGTTAGTTGGGATATTCACCCAAGAGATAGATACAGGAAAAGACATACCAACTACGAGCACAGCCGGGTCATTGCCTGCGTTGAAGCCCGCCGCCTCCTGCCTCCTCTCAGCCCAGTTCTTTCGTCCGGGCTGCCCGCCATGCTGGACACCTCTTGGACGGCGCCCGTTGATGTTCTCTTCGTGTCCACGGACCTCTTGCAGGCGGGTGTACAGCGTGAAGATCTTCCACTGGCCCGCCTCCTCGACTAGCTGCACGAGGCCGTCGCCGGCACCAACGGCAGTCTCAATTGAGATGAAGAATTTGACACCGGAAACAGTCGCGTCCGCGTTCAATGGAAGCACCTTGGGCTCCCTTACAGGCGAGGAGGCATCGACTGTGATTTTCTTGAGCCGCAGCCCGTCCTTTGATTTCGCAGCGCCTTCGAGGAAGGTCAGGACATCGCTGGGGGTCTGCGCCGTTCGGAAGGCCCATGTGAGCGCGAGATGGTCTCGCCAGTACCCGTCATCGGTGAAGAGCTTTGACAGAGCGCTGAAGTCGCTCCTCTCAAGTGCCTGGTTGATTGTGTCGACCAGCTGGGATGCGACTTGGGCGGCATCGATCGTGGCCTTGGGCGCGGTGGCGTTTGCGGGGAACTTGGCTACGTGGATGTTGACTGAGCCTGGGACGCCTCGCAGATGCGATGGCACAGCCGTCTGTAGCTCTACGAGGGCAGCCATCGGGGGCTATGTGTTGGTGTTGATGCTGTGTTTAAACTTGGGATTGTGTATGGGTATGTGGATGGAGTTGGGGAATCAAGGATGAATGTGATGGATAGAGAGAGAAACGGGATCGGAGGCAGAACCGGCCTCGTTATATAAGAGTTAATAAGCTCTGAGTGTGTCACTTGAGACATACATATTCCGACTGGACATGATTGGCTTGTCCCGCCCAGCCAGCACATAGACACATGGCATCGGAACAGCTGCTGGGGTCGGTTCACATCTCCTGGACCGCAGCAGGAATCACAAGGGATTCAAGCAGTGAATTCACCCAGGCAGCTTCATCACGTCGGAAGATACTGCTCAAACGAGCAGACACTCAGGGCCGTACCCCGGCTTTCCCCCGCGGGCTCCGCAAAGACGATCTTGAGCAGCAAGATCTGGCCAAAGTCCCCCCCACAAGCCAGGGAAGACGAGCGGGGTAATTCTGGGCGCCGTCTTACCTCGCCGCTGTCGGCTGTGTGCTTTGAGTCGGTTCCGCCTGGTGATGCTGGTGGGCAGAGCGGAACCGACAAATCCTGAACCTGATCCCCTGGTGCGTAAGACGATCATCCGGGGCAAAGGCCCAGCAAAAGATGCACGCAAAAGACAAAAAGAAAACATACAACAGCCGGTATTCGCTGGTCGTCACCGACCCAACTACTAATCGGCCCCTTACCAGCTTAACGCTCGGAGAGCAGACGGGATCCAGTGCTTCCTGGTAGGTATGGTCGTATGTGGTGGACGTCCATGGTGTTGGGCCCCAAATGTGAGGCGTTTCACGATCCCTGGCTGCTGATAAACGGGATGAGTAGAAATGGCTTTCTCCAACTGTGATTTCATAGACGCACGAGAGTTAACAATGATCGTGATTGATTGAGAATGCATATTCTTCCGTGGGGATATCGAGTCGCAGTTGAATTGAATGACGCCCTGTGATCGAGCCCTCCTACAGACTGGTGCAAGGTGCCATAAATTTGCGCTTCGGAAAATTTTATGCTGATATGATTCTGTAATTTGGAAGATTTAGCATCTTTGATTGACTTTCTTTCATTGATCTATCTCTTCAGCAATTCGCCAGGCTTTCTGTTAACGCGGCGCCGGCAATGAAATGAGGCATCCGAATTATGCTCAATGCTGGTCAGCTATTGGCTGTTAATCTTCCTATTAGGTCAGAGCAGAAGACGATTTATGCCCCATTCGATTGACACGTATGTTATGTGAAGAGGCCTTATATGTAGGTGGAAACCATCGCCCGAGGAGCTAGGACAGCACGACGAGACCTTTAGGCTTATGAGGGATTGGCTGCCCAGGTAAGGGGGACCTTAGCTCTGTATTATAGGAAATATGATGCAATGCTGAGTTCGTATGTTGCAAGCACAAGACACTATTTCTTGGGCTGGGGCCTTCCAATGTGCACCAAAGTCAACAATCAGTTATATAAAGCTTGGGACCCGAGTGCATAAATAATTTTTTTTTTGCAGAACTGAGTTTGTATTTCTCAAAGATTTGACTATTCCGTGTGTCATATGAGCCGGAACAACGAAAGCGATCTCGGCAGTTGAAGCGCTGACACTAACAAGCACCCTTGCTCTATCGAAAAATACCAGAAATGGGCAATATTTCGCGAACGTATGAAACAAAAAGAGCTTTTTATTCACCCGAACCTAGAGGTAGATTACAAATTCAAAAGGTGAGTTATTGGTCATATACAAGGGTCAGAGTCGTGTATGCCGACACTCATCGGAACTTAGAAACGATTTCATACTTTTGAGGGGCATTCGGGGCAACATTGCCCGCGTGAGCAAGTTTGACACCCTCAATTGTGCTCTAGGCATTGGGTAATCAGCTCTTTGTAGTATTTGAAATCAAATCAATGTAGCTTCTGGAGAGGTTAGTTTAGGAATAAATGGTAACAACGAAAAGTATATAGATGTAGAGGCATGCACGAAATCCTGATAAGAAAACACTCACCATTCATCTTCAACATTTTATCAACACAGATTCAACTAAACTTATTATTCTTTAACCATGAACCCTCTTCGCGTTGGAACTTTGGTTTTCCCGTATCAAGCCATTGATACGGTCGGCCCTCTTGATGTCCTCAGCTCCGGCAGCAAACTAGTCTCGGAATTCCTCAGGGTTTACGGCCCCGTGGACGAAGTGGCCGCGAAGAAAGCTCCAGAGGTTGAGTTCCACCATATTGGCGTCTCCAAAGAGCCCGTGCCTTTGACTGCCGGGTTCCTCGTCGTCCCAACAGTTACCATCGAAGATGCGCCTGAGTTGGATATCCTTCTCATCGGAGGTCCGGTCCCTGATGGCTTCGAGTTGGATCCCAAGTATGCGCAGTTTATCCGGCAGCACGTGGCTGCCGGAAAGCTCCTCTGGACCAACTGCACGGGAGCGTTTGTGGCGGCTTCGGCCGGCGTACTGGACGGCAAGCGGGCAACAATCAACAATGTCGAGTTCGAATGGGTCAAGAAGCGTTTCCCTGCAGTGAACTGGACCAAGGAGACCAAGTGGGTGGTGGATGGCAATATTTGGACGGCTGCAGGCGCTGTTGCAGGCATGGACATGGTGACACATTGGCTCAAGGAGCAGTATGGCCCGGAAGTCCATCGATTATCTACTATGGGTCTCGATTTTGAGCCCCGAGACACCTATGGCGTACTCAATGTCCTTCCCAAGAGGTATGATGCCGCTGGAAGACAGCTGTTCACCCACGAGTTCTTCTATTTCGATTCCTACTAGAAGTAGCGTCCTCTAGCTTCTGAAAGATAGATAATCTCTTCTCAATATTAGAATAACAATTTGATTTCAATCTCGATCTAAATTCGGGGAAGAACGTTCATCTGGAAATATGACTCCAAATAGTAGACTCTGTCTCAATTGACACTGGTCACTGTGAGAACTTTTACCTCTACAGTCCAAGCCATCTATGCCTTGGCCATGACTAGGAGCGCTTCTGGAAAGTGGCCATGAAACCCGGAAGCTGGTAATTGTAAAAGATTTTTGGCCGACTGCGACGGCTTTAGGTACAATTCAAAGAAACAAAAATAACCTTTTTACATCTTAGTTGGTGCCCCGGGCCTGACAGTTTGAATTGGCTGCAACAGCAAAGTAGGGATGGCCCTCTTTGGAAACGTGGCTTCAAAGGCACTCATAAACTTGAATAAGATGTCCTCACGCCCTGCTCTTGCCATGATGGCGAGGCCGAATGGACGTCCATAGTCTTTCAGAACACCAAGTGGCATAGTGGCAATGGGATAGCCTGGGCCGAGAAAAAAAGGCATGTCAGAAGTCTTACATCAAGAATGAGTCGGTATATTTACGGAGAGAAGAGAAGATAGTCACCTGAAGCTGTTGCCAAGCTGGGTATTTTACTATCCTGTGGGACTGCAATGAGGTCAAGCCCTTTGCCGCTGAATAGAGGTTCAAATCCGTTCTCGATCACCACCTTTTCCATGTGCCGACGAGCCTCCTCATATTGCTCTGCGGTAGGCCGTTTCTTGCACGCTTGAATCAATCGTTGCTGATTGGCATGATCTGAAATGATGAGTATGATAGTGGACACTACTTGGATCTATCATGTCGGGCTTACCAAATGGCAACTCAATTTCTGCGTGCTTCTCATTCCACGCAATTAATTTAGCGGCGGTTCGGACGTTACAGTCCCGGAGGTTTCCGAGGTACTGGTCAATGTTTCTTGAGTATTCTCGCACTATTTTGTGTTAGTAGTCGCCCCTGGTGTCTAGAAATGCACAGTAACTTACGCATGACAACTTCCATCGCCGTCATATCGCCATCAGGCATCGTCAACTTTTCGAAACCAGGAAGTGAAACTGGATACTCGACATGAGCACCGGAAGCGTTGATCTTTTCAATAGCTTGCTCGTAAGTCTCATTCTTGCAAGCCGTTAGCAAAGTCGGCAAATGTATTAATAAGTTCATACCAGTTCCTGAACCACACTCGGAATTTGCGGGCACAATCTTTCCGGTAGGTGCCATATCTCAGGATCAAGAAATCCGACTTTCAAACCCTCGAAGCTTTTGCTGAGACTTGACAAATAACCGCCCGTGGGCAATTTTGAGCGAACTTGATCTGTATGAAGGAGTTCAGTTATAATGGCAAGGTCAGTGACCGACTTGGTCATGCCTCCGATAGCGTCAAAATGATGCGATAATGTCCACGCTCCGTCCATCTTGACACTCCCCGGGGTCGGCTTTAGTGCATACAAAGCTGCTCTCGCAGCAGGCTGTACCAACGATCCATCAGTCTCTGTCCCCAATGCTAGGGGGCTATATCCCGCAGAAACTCCTACTGCTGACCCTGTTGATGAACCTAGGGGGCTCTGGGATGATCAGTATAAGATCACATGGAACTAGAGTTTGAGATTACCGAGTGGCCCATTGCTGCCTCTCCATCCTTCAGACCGCCCTTGATGTAGGCAGAATTGGTCTGGCCGCCAACGGCAGAAAACCCGTTGATTGAGTCGAAGCCCCTAGTGAAAAAGGTCAAGCTTGGATCTTCATTATAAATGTGTCTGTAGAAACAAGAACAGAACGTACTTCCAATTGCAGAATTCCTGGGAACAATGTCAGTAATCAATATTTAGAACCGATGAAAGGTTACGGACGTTTAAATTGGTTTTGGCGAGAATGATCAGTCCATTCTTGATCAGCTGAGCAAGGCCAGATTAGCAATTCTGCCTCACAAGAGCGGGAATACTGTACTTGCCTCCTCGACTACAGCAGCGTTTCCTGCGGGTTTAGCATCGGCTAAGGCAAAACTTCCCACTGTTGTTGGCATGCCAAGGCTGGGATGAGTATTGATTGCGTCCTATCCATGATGAGCCAGCGTCGTGGGCGTCAGACAAATGAATGCGTCTTCGCCCGAGACGTACGTACTTTTATAAGAATGGGAATACCGTGCAGAGGCCCACGGAGCTTTCCTTGAGCTCTTTCGTCATCCAGTTGAGACGCCGCCTTGATGAGAATATCGCGAGGCGCGGTGCTTAGCACGGCCCGGAGATTGCGCGGCTTGTCGTGAAGACTAATGTGTTCAAGTAACTGCTCAACGAGACTCACACTTGTGATGGTTCGCTTGGCCAACATGACGGCTAACTCGGTCGCATACAGGGTGAGAATCTGCTCGATACTCAGTGCTGCCATTTTCTTTCTTTGTGTAGAAGTAGTGCTGAAGCTGGATTGCAGACGCGACGGCAAAAATAAGCTCTGTTAGCCAAAGGCTACACAGCACACAAAGAGGGGAGATTTTTCCTGAACAATCGAATTAACTTCCATCACAGAACAGTCCAATTATATGAGATCTCGCCGTAGGGGCTCTTCGATGATCTGACCCCGATCAAAGGAGAAGCGGCTCTACATCATGCGGGACGGCGAAGAGATGTTTCAATATGCACGTAATTTGGCAACTATTTATTTGATAGATAGTAACCCATTATTATATAACAGTGAAGAATTAGTTTGCGCTTGCTGTCACAACAACCCCCTGCTTGTTTGACGCTTCGACTTCGTCCCGAAGGTCTTCTCCAGAAGAATCTGAGTCATCCAGCTTCGCAACCACGGGCCTTTCGGGAACGAGAAGGACAGCATATGAGGTTGCTGGAATGGCAATGATGAACATGACATAGGCCACAATCAGATTGACCATGGGTGCCACTTTGGCAGCTCCAATTCCAAAGGACAAGCAAGAACCAATTGACTCGAATGAGCGGATGATTCCCACGCAGAAAGTCAAGGACTCCAGATCGTCAAAGTAAGCGCCGACAATCCAGTACACAAACATGTAGTGAGACTCATTCATGAACCTAGCATTCGTTAGTCTTCATGTTCTTCAAAATGGGATAATTATGTTGAAATGGCGTACCTCATGATGACCATGCTCGCAAATGCGCGACCAAATCCTGGAGTAGCCCAGTCAAGGGTGATCTTGGGCACGGTTGTGGAGTAAAGATGTTCGTTTGCAATCTGCCAACTCATTGTGGCCAGCATAACCACTGAGAAGCATGTCCAGGTATACTTGGCGAGCTGGGGGCGGCTGAACCTCTGCAGGTCATATACCCAACCCCAGATGATGTTTGCCAAAGTAGCCACGATGCCAGAGACGAGAGAGCTCAGAGTACGAGCTCTAACGGAAAAGCTGAAATCATAAGATGTTAGAATATCGCTAGAAATGTTGGTTAATTATTGGCGAAAGAAAACATACTAGTTGGTTTGATAAATGCCCAAGTAAGTTCCGTTCCAGTTGAAGCCCACGAGAACGGGAATAAGGAACAAAATCTGTTTCTTCTTGAGGAGATTCCACATCTTCTTCAATTCACCCTTGATGGGCTTATCTTTCTGGGGAGGCTCAATCTTGCTTCCATCAGGCCGAATGACCTTCTCGGGGGGCGAGACAAGGAGGGCGAAAGGGAGACCAAGGCACTGCAGCGCAATCAAAACAAGGTATGTCGTGTATGAGACCTTTCCACGCTGACCATCACCGGCGTTGAGTGACAGCTGAATGGATGCACCGATAAGCTGACCGAGCTCACGAAGACCGAGCCAGATTCCAGCTACACGCAGAAAGACTCGTTAGTAAGAGGTGCATAATGTACCATGGTGGGAGGCACATACTGAATTTTCCACGGTCCTTGACTCCTCCATATCCCAACGCGATGGCTCCCTCAGAAGCCCACAAGGCCGAAGCGGCGATCCCGCAAGTTGCACCACCAAACAAGACGAACCACTCGACTCCGTAGCGGTTGTTAACGTACAGGGCTGCCGAGTAGGGCGCATAACCGAGAGTTCCAATGATGAGGATCTTCTTCACGCCAAATCGGTTGGACAGTAAAGAGAAGATGAAGCAGCCGAAGACCATGATACCGAAAGTCAGAGAATTGGCTCCATTCACCAAGTACGGCTCTTGCTGGCCTCCAGCACCAGTGTCTTTTCGACGTTGTTAGTTCATGTCTGAATTGGGGCGCAGAATTGCCGCTGTTTGAGGGTTACATACTGTTGAGAGCATTCCAGATGCCTGGCTGGGTAAAGGAGATGAGACCTGCCAGTATGACATTGAAGAGCGGGCTTCGAAACCACCTGGTGAAGCGAGATACGCGCTTGCCGTTGGACTCTTCAACCTGGGGCGTTCCCGCCTCAGGGGAGATGACTGAAGAAGACATCTTGGAGCGTTTGCAAGTGGAGTGTCACAGACGAGGAGACCAGATGCTACGTTGTGTCCACGGCTGCCTCCTTCTTATATGGAAATGGGCTACATGGGCAACAATGCCGGTGGCTTCACGACAAGCCGAGCCAATGGATAAGGTTATTCTTCCCTGCGCGGGCAGAAGCCGACGCTACTGACTTACATGGAGCGATGTTGTGATGATGACCCGCCATTGCGCGAACACACCAGCGGCCAATGAGCACGGCCGATTTGCCTGAAATGGATTTGAAGAGGGGCCAGTGGTCACGCAATTCCCTGCCAAGGGGGTGGAAACGAACTATCAGATATTTAAAAGCAGAAGCTAAGCACTGACTAGACAATTTTTCTGTTGAAAAATTGGTTCTTCACGTTCTTCCGAGATGGAAAGACCCTTAATTTTGTTCTAGACTGAGATTCTACGGATCCGAGAAACCGGGAGGCATTGAATTTGATGAGACGTTCAGAACATTGTTGCTTGCTTCCAAGTCTGTGACCAGTCTTATCAGGGTTAATGATAAGATGATAATAAATTAATTTCAAGCGGCAATGCGCTACTCCAGTATCACCCTTTTATATCGTCTTTAGACCGTCTTATACTGTCTTATTATTCCAGTTATCATGGAAAATGGTCTGCTCATAACCGCCTTTCAATTTGTAGTAGCGCCCCAGTCACCCCTGGAGGAGTGACATTGTGTGTCATGTCGTCGAACAGGGGCCTGCCGAATCCCAGTCGTTATTTCAAAGTGTGCTCGCGTCATCAGAGGCCTCACTTTATAACGCATTTATCAGAACCACAGTATGCGAAGTTTTTGCCTCTCGGAGAATTTCTTATCACTACCTCTTTTTCCATGAATCAGGCTATAAAATTAGAAGAGCTAGCTAGACTAGATTCTAATAGCCTCTTTCTCAAAGAGCCTCTAGTTCGATATCGCCATAACGCCCCTCGCCACTTACGAAATCTCCCGGCAATAAGTAATAGACTCCGAATAATGATGCCAATCATGTCGGTTGCAAATTCACATCGAGCTAGCTGTTAGTTCTAATAGGGTCGGAAGCCTGTAGGTTGTAGGATATTCAGTATATCACGCACATTAGAATATTTATGTAAACGTGCAGCGAGACATGGTAATGTAGTTTGATTTAGATATTTGATCTGATGCACCCTGCTAAGTAATCTGATTCTGTTGATGACAACCACAGGGCATCGCTCAAGGCGCCCACTCTGCGCCCGTTGCAATACGCTGCATGAACTTATGAAGCCTGACTGCCTCATCAATAGACATATACTTGTCCTCCTCACCCTTTGCGAAGGCTTCATACAACCGTCCAGTGTTCTTAGCCAACTTGTGCAAGTCGGTGATATGTGCACCCTCGTGTCTATCCAGGACTTCAATCTCCTCGGCCTGTTCCGCACCCCACGTCTTTACACGTAGCTTTGCTCCTGCACCGCTGCCCAGGTCACCCTGGTACATCATCCCCTGGTCGTACGTGAGCTCTAGCTCGCCCTTGGTCCCGCTGATGAGCCAGCGTCCGCCGCGGCCGTTGACAGTGGAGCGGACGAAGCGGAGGGCGTAGGAGGCAATGCCGCCGGAGGAGAGGATGCCCTGAATCAGGAATGAATCGGGCACAGTGACGGGGTAGGCTGGGTCGGTGACGGTGCCGGCCGTGTCAAGGAGTTTGACGGTCTTATCTTGGATTTTGAAGATAGACTGTACAGTGGTGAACTCACCAAGGGCATCTACATAACTCGCTAGACCTAAGTAGAGGAGGAGAGGTCAGCCAAGAGGTGGAAAGCCTTTAAGGAGATGAAGGAGCTACTGACTGTGTCCAAGACCAATGGTGAAACGACTGCCGCCATGCTCCATGTTCAACCAAAACGCCACCGCATCGGACCATCCATCTGCCGTGGTGAGGAGCATCGCCGTATCGAAGTACGAGGAGACAACATCACCGATGGTGCCATCACGGAGCATCTTCTTGATCTTATGGTGGACAGGATCTGCTATGGCCTGCGCGCCAATGACCACTTTAACACCTTTCTCGTGGGCCAGTTTCTGGAGTTCCTCCATCTGTTCCATGTTGGACGCTAGCGGAAACTCCACGAGTATGTTCTTGCCCGCCAGAATCGCGGGCTTAGCGAGGTCATAGTGCTTGTCGACATTCACGATCACGGAGATCATGTCAACCTCCGGGTCTGCGGCTATGTCTTCGGCGGAGCCGTAGGCACGGACATGCTCACCGAGCCCATGGGCGGCAATGGCGCGGGCGGCGGACTGGGCGGTGGAGTTACAGACGGCAACGACTTGGTACAAGGGTGAGGCTTTGAGGGCGGCGATGTGTATAATGCCCCATTGCCCGGCCAAGGCATCGGGTTTGAAGTCAGCGTTGAGTCCTATGAGGCCAATACGAATAGGGACCATTGTGACTAAGAATGCTGGGGCTTGGGAACAGGGAATGATATGGAGATCTGTAGAAGTTCTTGTGTAGGATGTTTCGTTTGAGAATGAGACAACCTGATGGGGGAGGGACCTAAATATCGTTCAGCACCTTTATATAACTGCTCCATCCATATCTTTTCTTACTACTAAGGACACCATGGCGAGCAAAACGAGATTGGCCGGCGTTTGACTACGCAACTCTACTCAATATCTGGAGATAGTATTCCATGCATTAGGCTCATCGCTGTGAGGATGTTGTAGTACCTGTATCCAAAGTCCGGAGCTTTCACAGCTCCGGACTTTGGGTCTCCACTCAAACTCCGGCGCATCCCGCCTTGATGCCCATGGGAAAGATCGATTCTAAATTGCCCGGTACCGTATTCTGCCGATATACACGCATTACGGTCTTGTTCACCCATAAGTCTTTCCTTGTCAAAGATTTGCCAATAGCGCCTGGAACAAGGACAACTCTTGTACCGTGTAGGGAAGATCGAGCCAAGTGCAGGCACGACAAAATTGGTTTGGTACCCCTCAAGCTTCGTGATTGGAGTGAGTTTCCGGAGGCCCACCTGAACTCCGGTGTCTAGCAGGGGGAGAACGCAAACGTTGTCATGTCCGCAGCGACTTGAACACTCTTCCAACTTTGTGTCTTGAATCGATCCCAATCAGCAGTGAGAACGAGACTGGCGGATGAAATCTGGCGGAACTCAATGCCCGTCTCGCGTGCGAAGGCCTGCTTCCTCTGCAGGGAAGCCAAAGCCCGGTGCGATAGGGCGACCCCTGAATGTTCCCGCTGTGCGGCGCGGAAGCTCAGATGCGTGTACGATGGAAGGAACGGTTCCCGGGGCGCAGTCCCGTCTTATCCTTACCCCTCACGTGTAGCCTTACAGTCTCTGATGCCACAGGAGATCGTGGACCCTCTGGCCCTACTCGGAGATCAACAGCAACAAGATGACTCATTTGTACGGTTGCTTTCGTCTTCCGCTGAGACGCCGCAGCGTCTGGAAGTAGCTGAACCAGCAGATGACGACGCTTGGACTGCCGATGGTCTGCTGGGAAGAGACCCCAGCATGGATCCCCTCTTGGGGCTTGACCTCACTGGGGATACGTTTGCGTTGGGAAACAATGAGTCTCGCAACTTCGCTGAAAAGGAGACAATAAGCCCTAACCTAATGAAGCCCTGGGGGTTAGCAGCAGATACAGAGGATAGTAACGTGTATTCCCATGGGACATGGGCTATGCATGATATTGCGAATAGCCCGACTGCCACTACTCAAAAAGACCTTGCCGTTCTCACGTCAACTTCAACTGTCACCACACCTGTCGATACTGACAAGAGCGGCTCATTAGGCCACCCTCTTCTGATGAACTCCCTTTTCCGCTCATGTACGATGAACTCGATCCTACTAGGCCAACTCACTAGCTACCCAAAGATGATGATTGAGGGAGATCAACTACCTCCTTTCATACATGCACCGTGCCACATTGACAACGACTTGGCACCTGGCTGCGGAGAGAGTGGCCGTCACCAGTGCTTGCCCAAAGAACTAGCCATTTGTGCGAGCCTGGTGCAGATGTTTTACGAGCGCACCAACGCCAATACGGATTTCGTGTGGAACTTGATATATGAGGAGCAAGCTAGGCTTCATCGGGAGGTACGCTTCACAGACTCTTGACGCCCAGAAATCGACAAATTTCCGAGGCCAAGGTACTCACCGTTCCTTTTTTGTAGTACTTCAAGTTCTCCTCTACGCAGCAACTGGCTGCCACACAATCAGCTTTGATCTTCCTTCTTCTGCAGGCATCAGATCCAAGCACCGTTGAGATTCATAACTCAAAGGATTTGCTTAATACCGTTGTGGTAAGATATTCTCGCTATTCATTGCTTTGAGTTGGTGGGGCCCTGGCAGCTTTATGGTTAAACTTTATCCTCTTTCTCCTACACACAAGATCTTCTCGCATCAACTGGTTCCGGCGAACAATCTCACCTTAAGATCCATAAGCTAATCACATCATTCCTCTTTTGGTGCGAAGTGTTTCGTCGAGCATATGGCACGAACGAACGAATGGGCAACCGACGCACGAGACGCCGTCTCAAATCGGCGCGAATGGGTGTTTAGGGAGAGCATACGGAGGTGCGTACAGTGCTCTGGCATCTGAAGCCTCCATTTTTGTTCTTTTCCGTGACTAATACCGGAGTACAGAGTTCTTGTAGTCCTGCACATTGTTGCGAGGCTGCTCGATGGTTTTGTACGCGGTGGCTGCACACCCGCACCGGGGAGCAGCTTCCGAACGATACCGCTCCCATCAAGCCGCGACTTGTGGGAGGCTCGCACAAGCAGGGTGTGGACGAGGGACTACAAGAAGAACATGGCAGCGAGGACTACTGACAAGGTGCTCACGGTGGGAGATGTTTTGGAATCTGGCGGCGTGAGCAGGTCGTGTAGTGGTAAAGGCCCGACGACTCCTGAGCTACTGCCGGAGGTGATGAGACGGGCTGGAGGCCTGGACACGCTGGGGATGCTTGTATGGATGGTGATGCCGTTTGAAGATGCTAGAGAAGTACATGAGCATGAGGCGATGATATGCTGGTCCTAGACCTTCACTCGAACTCGCTCTATACCTTGGAAAGCGATGATCCGTCATATAATCTCGGCAACGGGATGATCAGAATGGATTTATTGTGACTATGGTAACCACCGAAACAATTTAATCTATGTATCTTAACTACTCCATCCCTCTCAAATTTCAAATACCATGTGGAGAGTATGCTTGGTTGGTTATCTATCAAGTTGAGCATCAGCTACCCCGAATCGTGAATTGAAACTCGATGTGAATGCCGGTGCGCATCGATGTCGTTGATGATGGTGAACCCTCAAGCCAGCTTCGACGGCCAGTCCCAGTGCCTCGTGAACATCTCCTTGTCCAAAGGAAGGTGGACAGACAAGATCGATATCAACCAGCCGGGGTAGTTTGGAGTCGTGCTCATCTCGAAACCCACGGAGCAAGTTGGAAATGTTCCTAACGACCCTACCCTCTGCCGCAAGATTTCGGGAGTAGATCTTCGCAGTCTCCAGTGACGGCGGAAGTATATCGACAAGAGGGAGTGGTACCCAGCCAGAGTAATTCTGATGGGCACGTCCGAACCTGAAAGTTGGACCATCCCAGAGCGCACGCAAGTCGATTTCAAAGCTTCTCAGACGCTGGAAGGCGCTCATGCTGGCAGGACTCGTGGTGTACCATTGTATCGGATAGTTGGCTATTGCCAGCTCCTCAATCACGTCGCCAATCCGAGATCCTATTATGGAGATCATGTGGCCAACGTCGTAACTGAGACCGGCTGAATTCGGTTTGCTCTCTAAATTAAGGCACAAGGATCTCAGATTTGGCGTCTTACCCAGCAGCTCAGACAACTCAGGTATGCCTATGCATGACCCGTTGAGTTCGATCCTGGTGAGATTAATACCCAAAGTATTGGCGGTGAAATAGTTCTCCGTCGGATCCATCCCCCATCCTTGAACCCCGCCCATATAGAATTCTTGGAGTGAATTCAAGGAGAGAAAAGGCGTGAGCTGGGAGAGCGGTGCGACCGACATGAAGCCGTGGCCGACAAACGGTTTCATGACAACCAGCTGTGAAAGGGAAGCCTCGGGCTTTCTGGGATCGTTGGCGCGTTGCGCGATAGATTCTAGCTGCCTCAGCCTGGTTGGAGGTATCGTGTAGGCCCAGGCTTTGGAAAGGGCTATGTCCTTGACATTGGGCAGGAAGTTGAGAAGCCAAATTTCGGCCTCCACTACAGACACTGTATTCAAGTTGTAGGTGGAGGGATCCTCCAAAAAGTCCTCACCATATACTGGATCGGACAAGAACCGGCGAATGTTAGCTTCGTCCTCCTCAGCCCAACGAGGAGAGGGACCTCGAATGCCGTCTGCATTGTGGTTGGCATGAGGAAGCATGCCAGAAGGTAGAAGAACGCGGGCATGCTTCAAGTCAAGCGAATGAATGAAGCGGCCGATGCTAGGGTCTCTCAAAACGTGAGCAACAAGGCCGAAAACGTCGGTGACTTTGAATCCGGTGGTAGCAGTGGCATCATCCCAGTGATGGAGAAGATTGCAGGTCGACTTGTCGTCGGGAGCGTCACAGTCAGCATCAGCGGAGTGGCGAGAGTAGCGAAAGGACCAGAAGCGTCGTTTCTTTCGGTTGTAATCATTGATGAGGGGATGGCAGTCACGGAAGAGGGACTTGCAGGTGAGAGCGATGCTTTCGAACCCGTCTGGTGTCGCATCCCCGATGATTTGTTGGGTGATCTCGAGAGGTAGAGTATTCAGAGACATTCTTGGGTTGTGGAAGGCTATTCAAGGATGTAGTAACGGGAAATTAATCAAGGTGGCTCGGCGTAAAAATACGTATGGAGGTCGAAAAGAAATATGAATCTCACGCTGCGTCCAAGAATTCACGGAGGGGTTACTTATCAATGTGCTTATGCGCCGCTGCCTAATCAGGGGCAGCCCGGTCCAGGCTGATCAATGCTACCTTATGCTACGAATGATTCTTGGTAGTGACCTGATATTTCCTCTATGATCATGCTATTGTAGGCTGTTTAAAGAATGAAAATTGTGAAATAACAGAGGTAGTGCAGGTGTTATGCCGTTCACTAATCATAGCCATATGGATATTAGTATTTAGATATTAGTCGGCTTTTGGTAGAGTTGGGAGGCCTTGACTTCATTTTGGCGAAGAGAGCGAGAAAAGGGCATGAGATGTTGCGGATGGCTATATTTGTTGAAAGTACATCAGAATCATGTCTCGTGAGATCAGGTCTCTCGAGATCGTACCTATCTTGCTTCGGTGCTTGTTTCCGATCATTCAATTATTGGCATAATATACCGCCGCTAGAATATCTTTCCGCATCGCATCAGTCGGCGGTTGTCAGACACACCACATGCGAGGTGTTTTGGGGCGGCAAGTCTTTTCAGAGACCCCAAGGAGAAGTCATCTAGCCAACGGATCAGGCTCACTTCTGCCATCTCTTGAGCACCACGACATACTGCGGGGGGTTGGTTGGGGGCCAAACCTGCCTTTGGCCTCCCCAGAAACCGGCAGCCATGGGGAACCAAAGGACATTGGGAAAATAATGTACCTACGGCGCTACAGGACTCCCATTATGCGGCCAAGTAGACCGGAGGCCAATGAGAAGCCATGATTTGCCGCGAACTGCCCAAGCTGCAGCACCTCAAACCACTAAATATTCAGCTGGCTGGGCTTACATCAACATTTACTTTTCCTTAGGAGCTGGTGTATTTTTAGTATGATATGCTGTTGGTCGTCGCCATTGAAGGAAACTCGTCAGGTAAGTAGCAATCGAAATATAAAAACCCCTCAGCCCAGCTCTGAGCTGCTGGTATCCTCATTGCCTGCATCAATTTTCCAAACTTGATTTACATATTTTCGCTATGACTTGCGTCGACTGCACTGTCGACAGCCAGGTGCTGGAACAGCTGTCCAGTGCTGAGCTAGGAGAACTGCGCAACATCAACAGACATCTCATGCAATGCGACGTCGGTGGAATTCCCTCCGTATCGCGGATCGTTGTCGTTGGGGAGCGGTCATCGGGCAAGTCTGCCGTCCTGGAAGCAATATCTCACATCCGCTTCCCTGTCGATAATGGAAGCTATAGCAAGCTTGTTGTGGAAGTAATTCTTCGGCCAGCCACGGAAACAAGCATGCAGGTTACCCTGCAATACTTTGACTCGAAACAGACCAGACGGGTTATCACAAAGGATACTTTCAACCAGAACGACCTGTCAAACATCATACAGACTGCCATCGAGTCCGTCGACAGTTCGACGGTGGACACGGCCTTCCTGTACGGTGGTATGTGCAGGGTTGAGCTTAAAGGACCCAACTTGCATCCGTTGGCGCTGGTTGACCTGCCTGACTACTTTCAAGCAGACACCGAATCCGGTTCTTCAATTCAGAAGAGGTTCGTCAATTCAATTGGCCCAGATTACCTAGGCAGCAGAAATTCTGTTGTCCTTGCCGTCATACCTGCGGAACAGAAGCTGGCATCCAACCAAGCCAATCTGTCGAGGGTTGAGACAATTGATTCCTTTGGGGAGAGAACGCTCATAGTCATCACCAAACCAGATCTGCTGAACGCTGGTTCCATGGCGGAGGCTGAATACGTGAGGCTCGTGAAAGATCAGAACAAGGCTCAGAAGTCACACCTGGGATGGCACGCCCTCTGCAACACGACCTCGATTGGGGGTTCTAGCCTTGAAGCCCGTGATACTGCTGAGGAGGACTTTTTCAGCTCTGGGGCATGGGCCTCTGTTCCGAAGAGCAAAGTCGGCATCTGCAGCCTTAGAAAGAGGATCTGCCAAGCAATGTACAGCCGTTTACAATATCGCCTCCCTGGAGTCATTGCTGCGGCGGAGGAAAAGCTTCGCCAAAGGGAATGTGAACTATCTAAGCTGGGAGCCCCCCGCTCAGAAATTGAACAAGTGCGGCAGTTTCTCACCAAGATTGCGATAGATTTTCAATTTCTTGCTAGGGACGCCACCCAAGGACGATATGACGATGGATTTTTTGGAGGTCGGCAGGATGACCAGCACAAGCTTAGAGCTCAGCTGAAAACTTTCCACCGAGCGTTCCAGTACACTCTCAAGACCAGGGGCTCATCAAGAATCATCAATTCCAAAATATTCCAGCTAGAGGAACAACCTCCCGAGTACCTCAAAGAGTTCTTTGACAAATATCCCTGCAATTTTCCCTGTCCAATAACCATCAACGAGTCAATCTTGGAAGCAGAACTCAATCGCCAAGCTGATAAATATCAAAGCAGCGAAGATATAGCCACTGAGATATTCAGGGAGCAAGCCAAACCCTGGAGAGGGATCTCTCAGTCTCATATCGAGCGTGTCACCTCATTGGTGAAAGCATTCGTCGATGCTGTGTTTGTACATCTTTTAGGATCCCTTGATGATGTCGAGATGACAAAAACCATTTTGACGACCATTGTAGATCCTTGGTTTGAGAAGAAAGAACGGACTCTTCAAGAAAAGCTGGTTGAGCTTCTCCAACCATATGATGAAGGGCATGCGGCTCTCTTAGATATCGAATTCGATACTGCCTTCTCAAACATATCCGCAAAGAGGGTAGCCAACAGGATGTTTATCCCCGCCAATCTCAGCCTCCAGGGCATCACAGGCAGCTCATTGAGAGAAGATGAGTCAAGGCGTATACAAAAGGTCATCGACTTGATGTCCGCATGCTATGAGGTAATGTAATATGCAGCCAAAGGCAGCTTCATGGATCCTTTTCTAATTCGAAGACAGACTGCACGTAAGACATTCGCAGCGACTGTTATCACTCTAGCCATAGAAAATTGTCTCGTGAACGATATTACCGGGATCTTTACTCCTATGATGGTGGCTAAAATGACCGACGAGCAGCTCAACGAGCTCGCTAAAGAGCGTGAAGATGTTCGAGATGAGCGTGAAAGCCTTAATCTCGATATCGACACATTACGGCATGCTCTCAACATTTGCAAGAAACATAAACCTAGGGCTGTGAGCGGTAAGAAGACGTCATACCTAGATTATGTTGCAGCACAGACTAACCAGAACCAGTCCTTCCCACTCGTACAACTCTACTACAGTCGAACCTTATCACTGGTCCAAAGAATCACAGTGGATCTCCAGGAGTGCCTCGTCAGTCAACCCCCCAGAAGCCTCAAGCTGAGGTGAAAAGGGAGCTGAAGCCTGCCGAGGAAAACCTATCCTGTGTGATGAAACTAAAGGGTAAACCTGGTTCCGCGCAGGAAGGAAAGGTTATCCCGGTGACCCTACCTCCTAATGCGGCATACAATCGGCCAGACTCGTCCGCCAGCTCGAGTCTAGTGAACATAGAGATATCCTCCACGAGTTCTGTAGATCGCGATGAATGCGCCTCAACTGCTTCTGTTCAGACGACAAATGATGACACCAACTCATCTCTCGATTCTTTTGTCGAGGAAGAGCCACCCAGTGGTTCCACTGACGGGGCAGCAACAAAGGACCAAACGGCCTCAAATCTAACCTTGACAACCGGAAATATAGTGAGCGATACCTCCAGCGGGTCAAACGATACTGCAGCAAGTAAGGAGACTACACCTTCAACCCCGTCATTTGTGACCATCTCTCACGAAGACGAGTCGGGTGAGAAATCAGACAAAAGACTCAAAACAGCCGCCAATACTGATTCCAGCCCATCAACCCCCATCACAGGCTCAAAGGTTGCGGTCTCATCTCCTGTTTCTACTGGCATCCATGCCACTACAACCTCTTTTTCTCTCGCCGTACCAACAGCTGCTACGGGCTACAAAGCCGGTTCTCCCCTCTCCACACCCACAAAGGTTGGACATATCGGACAAGCAGGCAGTCCCGGGGTGATGAAGCAGGAGACGAAGCCATCGTCCGCCCCTGCCACCACAAAGATAGAAAGTCACTTATTTGGCCCGTCGGCTAATAGCATTCCAAAGATAACTAGTCCTCTCTTCAGCGCATCACCATCCACAACCACGAGCCATGAAGACAGAAGCGCAATTCTAAGTACAACTGATGCCAAGACAACTGCTCGTGGCGGTTTATTTGGAACAAATGCAGGCCAAACAATTCCAAAGAAAGAGCCAACATCGATTTTCGGCGCTGCAGGCCATTTGGATAATCCATTTAGCCTATCCAACTACACAACATCAAGTGGCTCATCTGGTGGCTTCGCTCAGGTGTCTAGCAACTCGTCACGGCTACCACCCAGGCCGATACTAAACAAGAGCCGTTTATCCCTAAAGAGCAAGTCTAGCTAGGAACAGGATCCCAGAAATTCTTGTTTCTTCTCATCTTGAGGTTCTCAAAATGGGTCTGACGATAAATGAAACTTAAACGAGGTTGTGTTTGGATTTCAACTCGTTGCACTGATAACGGACCAAATTTTGCGCCTTCCACTTTATCTACGGCCAAGACTAGAAAGAAATGCAGGTGAGTTTTTCAACTCTCGCAGGTGCAAGAAGGGGAGGAATACAAAGTAGTTGACAGTTGTTCGTCAGACGTCTAGATAGCGTGATATTACCGATGGAATAAGCTGAGCGTGGTTTTACGATCGTATTGGGATAACATTGGCGTGAGAGCTGGAGAGGATGGACCGTATACGCAGTTGGACTTCTTTATTAATACTTGATCTTCCACCTTTGAATGAAACCTAGGAATAGGCTTCATCCCCTCGAGCTTGTTTCGCTACTGTGATCCTCTCAAGGCTATTTGAGCGCCTGTTACTCGTCATGATTTTCTATTGTTTTACGCGGTTGCTCCCTAGCTTTTATATCCAGGTCGAGGCCGGAATACCACTCAAGTCCTCGGTTGCCTCCCACAGCATGGTCAAATCCACCAAGTCCATGACCGTCGATGGCATCGCCGGCGCATCCTCTACCGCAGTCTCATGCGCCATGGTTTCAGGTGAAAGCCATGGTGACTGCTGGAGCTCTGGGCTCGTTCCCTCCGTGCGAGCCGTGGCCGGCGAGTCTCGCAATCCGCCTCCCCCCTGAGACGACTCGTTGAGATCTGCCAGCACTGCCGCCACGGCAACGTCGAAGGCGTCGCGCTTGAACTGGAAGGTTGGGAAGCGCTCCACCATCCCCCAGAGCACCGAGGAGCACGCGTGTAGGGTGGACTCGAAGGAGCGGAACCCGATGAACTCTCGCAGCTGGGCGGAGGTGACGTATCCGTACATGAGGGCCGTGCCTGCCGAGTATAGGTTGTTTACCGCCTGCCAGTAGATGGTGAGTTTCTTCTCGAGGAAGAACTTCCTGTTGAGCTGGATGATCCTGATCGCGGACTGCGTCATGGCAACCAGCTGTGCCCCTGAAGGCTCGGGGTTGTTGGGTGACGGGCGGTAGAGGTACGCCAGCGCGGTGTGGTAGGTGAGTTCGAAGGTCTCAATCACCGTTTCGTCGCGGGCGTTGAGCCTGTCTCTGCGGGGGATCGTTTCATACCACCTGTTGATGCGGTCTCGCATTCGTTGCTGCCACTGCTCCATGTTGACCGGGCCGTACGGCGGTGGGGGCTTTTCGTTGAGGACCATCCGCATCTCAGATTGGATTTGGCGGTATCTGAACAGGTGGATGCTTACCAGCTTGGAGCCGGATAGTTTCTCGTCGGTCGTCTCGATTCCTTCTGGTTTTATCAGGTGGTCGTCGACTTCACTGGGGAACTGACAGATAAAATGTGAGATTATGGTGGTACAGAGAGACTGAAAAGAAAAAGAGGCAACGCTTTGTTATTATACCTTGACATCGATGGCCCCGTCTGACAAACATGAAGGGAGCCCCTGAGAGATGGAGATGTTGCGGTCCATGGAGTAGGCTACCCAGAAAGTTCTACGCCGGATGTCGAGCGTCAATGCGTCTGGGGACTCGGCTGGCGTCGGATCAAGGTGAAGTCCTAGCTCGACAGCAAGCCGGAATGCTGCACCGACAGTGTTCCATACGGTCCACAGAGTTGGGTGAAAGTAGAAATATTGCCCGATGAGAAGAAGCGCCTGCACTCCCTCGACACCTTCGGGCAAGCCAGCCTCCATCAGGGCTGAAACAGCGCCCCGATGGTAGCGATCAGCCACGGATGTGGGAATCCTGGCTGGATCTTGCTTCTGCATCGTCAAAAGGGCGATGGCGAAAACTTCGAGGACAAAGAATACGGCAACTCTAGAAACGGAGGTGGTATGGGTTAGAGTGAGGTCGATTACGTGAGGCATCTCGTATACTAGAGCTAGCTTTTTCGTGAAGGTGGGCTCGTGCAACAGCGGCATGCCAAGGTTGGCGGAGAGGAATAACTCTCTGGTGAGATTTTCTGCGACCTCTTTCGCGGGAAGGGTACTAGGACCAGTGTTGAGATTATCAACAAAGTGAGATGTAGGTTGTTGTAGCTGCTCTTGCTGACCCCGGCAATGAGAAGGCCTGGCAAGGAGTAGGCCGCGCAATAGAAGTTTGGAGAACTCGGCCTCTGGTTTTGCAACCCCCCCTTGCTCGAGGACACGGATGGCCTCGAGAGGCCGTGTCGTGATATCATTTAGAACAGCATGTGAGTGTGAGCTTGTAGTCTCAGGTGAGGTTCCTGCTGCTGCTTCTAGGAGATAGGCAAAAGCGGATGATTCCGATGCTCTTGCCGGGGCTCGAGCGGCGGTCGAGGGCTGTTGGTCTAAGAGATCTTCCTCTGGGTCACCGGCATCTCGCAGCTTGGATTCTAGAAACGCCACACGCTCCTCGAGACTTTGCACGTAGCTAGTAGATTCGCAGATCCGTCAGCATCGACAGGCACATGGACAGGTAAGAAGCAAAAGGCATAGGGCTAAAAGGAAGGGCAGCTGACCCTCGTGGAACCTGTCGATTAGCTGCGGGCTCAAAGCCGTAGCATTCAACGCCGGCGGACTCGCAGGGGCGGCATCTGGGCAGTTTCCGGTCACAGCGCTTCTTCTTCTGACGGCAGCGGACGCAGGCCGTGGTGCCCACCTTGAATCGGGGCACGGGATCTGTAGGGGCGGATGGAGGGGGTGAAGCCATCTATGAGAGCCGAGAGGCGAGAAGTGCGTTGATGGTCCGTTTGGGATGCAGATGCAACACATCACAATGACTCCAGTTGTCTCGTCATAGGCGAATGAGCGCGGACACAACTTCCAAGAGGCGGCTGGTAATACCTCTCAATAATGGAGTACTGCGGGGACGCGGGGAACTGTGGAAGTATATCTACATCCATCTACATAAGGTGCTCTTAGCAAAACGCCCTCTCCATGTGTATCCTTCAAGGTGCGTTGGCAAGTTAAGGCATAAAGCACCTTGGACAATGGAATTATGCATCATTTATTGCTCTGTAAGAACGATATATCACATCAAGAAAGGCTGCAGAACTAGGAGATACTTGCACGAGGTCCTGAACTAGTACCGGACCCCTTATCTTGAGCAGGCTTCCCCAGGCACAGACTTGCTACGGTTATTGGTCAACCATTCCCTTATCTTTGTACGAAACATGACAGGGGTTCCCTAAAAGCCTCCACTGTCTATTAGGGGATACGTAGTAGATGATAGCGTAGCTCCTTGCCGGAAAACTGCGCCGTTTGCGCCGGAGAAGTGCGAGGTTATTTTGGAGACTCTACATGTAGATATTGCGATTCGCATTGGAATGCTTTCTGCTGCTTTTACGTTCTTGTATAGTTTTACTAATAGTGATAGACGTGTGTTGTCACAGGCGACTGCGAACGACATGTGCCAGTTCCTGGGCGGCACCCCCTATTCGAGGCGCATTCCCCTCGCTCGTCCCCTTTGTTCCAAACGCCCATTTCGCTGCCAGCTTCCCGTCCAGTTTTCCTTCCATCGAGTCCACCACCAGGTCGCCGATGGTAGGGAGAAACTTCCACGCGTGCGCCGAGCCTCCGGTAGCAACGTGGACACCGGCAATCCTCGGATGGGGCGCAATAATGAAGTCAGCCGACGGTGTCTGGGAAAGCCTAACAAGAAAGGACAGTCAGTAATGCGCGCGCCTAATCTCTACATGCTGGGACTTACCAGCACAGTTTTGTCCGGTCAAACGGGCGATCAGCCAGTTGGGGCATCATCTCCCGGAGGTTGTCGCGCAGAGCCTTCTCCGCCTCGAGGGGAATCTGATCGGTCGGGTTCGTCACCACGGTTCGCGGCAGCGATGTTCTTATCGTTTTGGAAGGGTCTTCCGGGTGCGGGATGAGGACCGTGTTTCTGTAGCCAGCTGACCGGCGGAGGCACTTGATCTCGCCCCGGTACGGAGGGAAGAGATTGAATCCAGTGTCGAAGTTGGTGGTGATGGACATGTTCTTCCACTTGACCACTTCCTCGTCAGTCAATTTTATCCAGGCCACCTCGATCGCCGAGGGTACAATGAGGTCATCGAGGTATACGAGCTTGTTGGACCAGGCGCCTGCTGCCACCAGCGTGAGATCCGCGCTGAGCGTCTGGCCGTTCTCGAGGATGACGCCCGTGGCCTGTTGACCAGAGACGGCAAGTCTATCGACGGGGACGCCGCACCTGAATACAATGGAGGGCTGCGCAAGGCATCGCTCGTAGTAGATCCGAACGCTCTCCCTCGCATCGATGAATGCATCGTCCATGTTCCTGTACCCAATGTTCCACCGCTTCCGGCGGCCAAGCGATGCGTTGCTCACGGGCTGAGCCGTCTTGCCGTGGATGCTCTGGAAGACTGCCTCGGGGGACTTCATCTCGATGGGATCGCCGCCGAGACCCTGAGCAGCGCGGGCCCTGACTGCTGCCAGGTTCTTCTTGTACAAGTCAAGCATCGGGCCCGGCGTGCCCTCTGCCACAAACGACATGCCCTGCTTGAAGTAGAACCGGCTCAGCTCTGGGTCCTGCTCAATCTTCTTCTGTGCCTCCTCGGCTAGCTTGGCGTAGAGCGGATCACCATAGTCTGCCCTGATGCATCTGGTTGTATCGACACTCGTGCCGTCCTCTACGGGCGGTGTCAACCGGTCAACAATCGTGATCTTGGTTGATGGATGCCTGCGGGCGATGGCCAGCGCTGTCGACAGGCCGAAGATGCCAGCGCCGATGATGATGACCGACTGTGGGACAGGCTTGGACGACATGATTTTTGGATTATGCTGCTTGGTAGCACAGGAGCTGTGGTATTGGTATTGTTACAGATACCTCTCCTTCACCATTCTTGTACCATCTAGCGTGGACTGCTCTTATATGCAGAATTGCCACCGCGGGAATCACCGCACTCCCACTTCGCTTCTGACGTTGTACACACGTTAGAGCGCAGTACAGACTCATTTACAGCCAATGATCTTCCAGGCTCGTTACGGATATAGCATGGGGGAAGATATCCAGTGGATCGAAAGGCGGGGATACTGCGCATATCTGGGGCAAAGAAACTGGACTGCGCGGTGAATGCCGCCGCGGAGAGTCATGACCCTCTCTTCTTTTCTCTTAGGGGCGGGATTCGCCGCCGCATTACTCAAGATGCTGGCAGGATTCCCGTTTCCATACCGATGAACGGCATACATAAAGCTGCATGAAGTTTGCATCATTTGTCCCCGACTTGAAGGTGGGAACAAGTCATAAGTTGGTTTCTGCTGCATTACTCACCGATACCATGGACTCGGGCAAACTCACTCGGGACGATACGTCCATCAAAATGGCCCAGGAGGACGCCATGTCTGTTGCGGAGGAGCACATCCTCATCGACCCAGAGGAAGAGAAGAAGCTGCTTCGCAAAATCGACATGCGTCTGATGCCCACCATATGGGTGCTGTACCTCTTGTCATACGCGGACCGAACCAAGTTGGTAACCTCCCGTCGCGACTCTCACATGAGCTTACTTTCTAACTTAAATCCTGCAGCATAGGGAACGCCAAAGTTGCCGGCATGGCTGACGATCTCCATCTGACCTCGAACCAGTACTCGATGACACTCGTCATCTTCTTCATCACTTATGTCATTTTCGAAATTCCAAGTAACCTCATCCTCGCCCGGACCAGACCTTCACTCTACATCCCAGCCATCATGGTCGCCTGGGGGGTTGTCACCTGCTGCATGTCTCTTGTCCACAGCTATGAGGGTCTCTTGGCCACTCGCGTTGTTTTGGGCATCTTCGAGGCTGGCTTCGCCCCAGGCATCATGTTCATTCTTTCGTCGTGGTATAAAAAGCACGAGCAGGCGAAGCGCTTCACCATATTCTATTCCGCGGCCGTGCTTTCAGGCGCCTTTGGGGGTATTGTAGCCGGTGCCATCACAGGGAGTCTGGACGGCGTCCATGGCATCCGGGGATGGAAGTGGCTCTTCGTAAGTTTACTTCTATTTTCGCTTCTCAATGAGGTCGTTCACGCTGACAATCATGGCTGTAGATCATCGAAGGCGTTGCCACCATCGGCTGCGCAATCATCGCGATCCCACTGCTCCTTGACTTCCCAATGAACACCCGAGGCTTTACCCCCGCGGAAAGGGAACTTGCCATCCGGCGCTTGCTGGCCGACAATGTCACAGCGAGAACAGAAGATGAGGCTCCGATGGCTCACCTGGAGGCGGTCCGCAAATCGCTGACGGACTGGAGAGTTTGGATGCTGGCAATTGGATACGTGGTGAGTATCAACGCAGAGTGGTGTCGTTATTGGCCAGAGGCTAACAATATTCAACCAGTCTCTGGGAGGATCAGGAACAATGTCATACTTCTACCCAACTCTGGTTCAGGGCTTGGGATACACTTCGCATATGGCTCAGTATAGTGAGTATTTTCCCATTCATACACCATGCCTGCCCGCATTTCTGACGTCTAATGCAGTGACCACGCCGATTTACGCCGTGGCATTTGTCTGCTGTCTCGTTACAGGATACTTGAACGATAAGTTCCCTACTGTTCGTGGCCTTTTCGTGGCCGGCTTGGTTGGTGTTGCTTGCATCTGTGCGATCGTCGTGTGTGCTGTATACAATTTCGTCGCGCGATATGTTCTACTGGTCTTTATGGCATCTGGGCTGCTTTCGGGAAATGCACTCTCTCTAGCCTATGCGTCCTCTACCTTTGCCCCAATGAGGGCGGAAGTGAGGGCCGTCAGTCTTGCCTGGGTCAACACCATAGCCAACTTGTCTGGTGTTTTCGGGGCGTACTTCTTCCCTTCAGAGGACGGGCCCAAGTACATTATGGGATTTGCTCTCGTTTCCGGTTTGAGTGCATTGTGCGTCCTCGTCTACGGATCATCGCACTTCTTGATTCGTAAATATCCTGCTCATCAATAGTGTGGTTTGGCAATACAACTGTACAGCAAAAAGCAAGGAATTGGCTGTATAGGGTTTGTGTGGCTGTTGAAGATTACGCTTAAGCGACAGAATCGCAGGATGAAGGAGGCTAATCCAATACAGACTAACTTCTATGTTTACTGAAATTCGATCCGATCTATGGCCCTATGCTTTGATGTATCTAGTAATAGGTAGACCTGGGAACATAATAGAGCTGTCAAAGATTCCGTGTTCCATCAACTAATTAAGTTATCACTCTCCCGGCCGCTTAAACATAGCGAGGATCTTGGAATTTTCCTTCGCCGCAGCAACGTCCAAGCAAGTACGACTCTTTTCGTCCTCGGCCGTTGGGTCAAGGCCTTGATCAAGTAGCCACCGAAAACGGCACTCGATGACTGGGGTCACCATATTTTGGTTTCGTTTTGTCTGAGGGTCTGTTCTGGCCACCACATGAAGCAAGGTCTCTCCGGCGTTGTTCTCAGCACGCAAGTCGGCCTTCGTCTCCATGAGTGTCTCCTGTGCTTTGAGCTCTCCTTCAGGAACTAATACATTATGTAACCTATTGTCTGGAGGGAATATGAGAACTCCGAACGCTGGAGTCTCGCCCTTGTTGTTGCGGCAGTTGATTGGTACACCTAGAGAAACGAGATGCTTGAACAGTTGCCGTGGCTTGTCGACTTCGCCTTCAATGCGGCCATCGCAGGCAAGAAACTTTCCAACATGATGAAGTGCCGAGTCACCGTTTGGATCTGGTAGTTTCGGATCAGCCCCAGCTTCAAGCAGAATCTCAATGGCTTTTGTGTCAACCCCGAATTGCCCGAACAATTGGGCCGGTGGTGTCCGCCGAAGCGCATAATGGAAGGGAGTCAGTCCGTCAGTATCAGTTTGATGCAGTAACTCCGGTGCCTTTGAGAGAATCTGACGCAGAGATTTGTAGCCAACAAAAGAAGGCACATTGAGGATGAGATGAAGGGCGTTCCTCTGTCGGTTGTCTCGTGCCGTGATGGATGCGCCCCGTTCCAGCAATTTCTCAATAATCGTAGGACCTCCAGCCTCTGGCTCGTCGTTGGCCATCACCTCATTAATGTTTCGTCTGTAATCTCCGTACACATTCTCAATAGGGACATCTGGGTCGGTTCTGCTGCTGCATGCCGCGAGAAGCAACGTCATTCCTTCTTGATTCCGGTGTTCAAGGTCAAGATCAGGCATGTCCAAGAACAAGCGGCTTGCACCACCTTCTCGCAGGAGTTGATGGAGGACGGTAACTTTGGTCATATAGTCGTCGTCCTGGGGCTCGCTACGCTTGACAAATGTAGTGAAAGGGTCTGCGCCATGGTCAAGTAGAACTTTGATCATAGACTCACGGGCGGAGTTGCTCTTTGTGTTCCCGTATGAGACAATCTTACGGTGCATGGCGGCAAAGAAAACCGGCGGAAGTTCAGACTGTTTGGCTGATATCCACCCGTAGCCGATAGCAGGCAATCCCTCTGGCGGTGCTTGGAACTGGTTCGGGTTGGCACCTGCATCGAGAAGCGCCTGGAGAACGGGGATGTTGCAACTTTGTATTGAGCTGGTGAGGGCTTCAGTAGAACCGGCTGCCCCATGCTTGAGGAGTAGCAACGTCAGATCGATGTCGTTGCCTGCAGTGGACAGACAACTGCGACCGCTGCTATCAACCGCGTTGACGTCGGCTCCGGCTTCTATGAGCATCTTTATAATCCGGAGCTTGTAGTTCGATGAACAGCCGAGAGCCCAAAGGAGGGTAGTACGGCCACAGGCATCGCGCGCTTCGAGGTCGGGACCATGCTTGAGGAGATACGGCAGGGCCTCTGCAACTTGCCACCAATGCTCTCCGCTGCAGCATTTATTAACAGTGTAGTTAATCTTCTCGTACTCGACTACGTTTTGACGGTAGCTGGGCCAGCTGTAAAACCCGTCATTGATATCCACGCCTAGTTCCTCAACGAGATATCGAACCATCGGCATATTCCCTGCTGGTTGATCGCAAGCGGAGAAAAGCGGATAGAATGATTCTAGGCGACGGGTTAGTAGTCCTTTGCCCTTCTGCTTAGATTGTCGAATGCCCTCATCTCTATCACGTTGTAGTTGGAGGACCTCCTCCCGCGTGACAGCTGCGCCAATGATGGATTCCATCCCAAACTTGACGAGCTTTCGCAGGATGTCTCCTCCAGAGTCTGTATCCAATATACGTGGCTCTTGGCGCAAGACATGTTTTACCGAATCCCAATCATGTTGTTCCATCAGATTCCTGAGGAACGCAACAAACGCATTGACATCCATTTCGGATGTCTGGAATTTTCTCCATGGTGCGACCTGCAGAAAAGCTTCGTGGGTAGCTGAACGTCTCGAGATGCTCGTAACAATCTTGCTGACAACATCCAATGAGAACTCTTGTGGATTAGCAATGAATGAATGGGCATATGTCTTTATGTCTTGTCTGGTGGTAGTGGCAAGTGCATCACTGGGATTATCATGCGCAATGGACTGACGTAGACGCAGCAGACAATCAATAGTGTAGTCGTGGGAGCTTTCGCACTTGATAATTGCCCGGTCCAGTTTTGTTACCCCCTTGTCTGTTCGGGACGTCATATCAGCTCCGTGGGCAAGGAGTAAGGATAAGATCTTCTCCAGCTGAGTTGGACATTGGTCATCTTTCTTGAGTTGATTCCGTGTATCATCATCAATGCTGATACCACGTGGTGGTTCAAATCCAGAGCGATCCTCCAAGGAACCACTTCGCGAAGAATACTGATCTTCGTCAGACTTCCACAAAGCTTTCTCCAGCTCATATTGAATGCACCAGTCCAGCGGCTCTCCAACCTGGCTGCTTTTTGCGTTCGGATCCGCCCCTGCAGCAAGCAGAAGAGAAACCGTCTCGGGGACACCAGAGCGGCAGGCTAAGTGAAGCGCTGTGGGTGTACGTTGGCTATGAAAGGTGTTGAGATGGTCGACTAAGCCCTGCTTCCCCAATTTGGCCTCGATCGCTTCCAGAAGGAGGCCAACAATGTCTGGCTTCCTGAAACGGGCAGCGACATGCAGGGGAGTTACTCCCTCCTCGGTAGGCTCGGTTGGGCTGGCTCCCTTTGAGAGAAGTGCGTGTACAAGGTCCTCAGAGGACCGAATTGCCACGTGAAGGGGGCGTATACCGTTGAAGTCTCGTACATCAAACTGTTTGAAATGCTTCAAGCCTTTGATAGATTCATAGTTCCTAGGTGAAACCAAGAAATGCAGAGCAGATTGGCCTGTAAAGTTCTGCTGGTCAGGGTCAATACCTAGTGTGAGAGGCGTCTCTAGATAATGGCTGTCAAAATCCCTGGTCGTCCATCCTACTGCGTCGTGGAATAGTGTGTTTCCTTGGTAGTCTATGGCTCGTGGATCGAGTCCTCGGTTGACAAGTTCCTGGACAACGGTCATCGTGTCTCGCCCGAAATAACCAAAGGCGAATAGAAGATTGCCACCGTGGTAGTCAACAACGTCAAGCTCCGCCCCAATGGAGACCAGCTTCTCGAGTGCCGCAACGAACTTCTCCTTGTTCAGATTCTTGTGGGCTTCCTGAAGAAAGTAGTATATGGGAGTACGCCCCTGTTTGTCTCTGATGTTCAGGTCTGCCCCAGCAGCAACCAGTTTCACGGTCAGATCCAAACCACTCCCTAGACCTTTTAAGGAATGCATCACGGTTTTTCCCTGCTTGTCCGTACTGTTGAGATGGATTCCTGCTGACATCAGCATGTCGAGGACTTCACTTTCATGTCTAACGCTAAGGTCCGGTGCTTGAGATATCCAGTCATGTAGAACTCCATGGTCATCATGTGCGGTGAGCGTCAGGTCCGCCCCTAGGTCAACATGTAGACGGACTAGATCTGCATAGAAATCCTTAGGCTTACCCCACTTGTCAGTCATCATCAGTATGGGGGTTTTACCATCCGACTCCCTTTGGTGGTTGATATCCGCATTCCCCTGTTCGACTAATATCCGGAAGCTCTCGATAGTCTGACATGCATGCAGAGGACTACTTCCATCATCGCTCAAAATGTTGGCATCCGCCCCAGCATTGACCAGGGCCCGGACAAGAGTCGGCCACCACTGAACAGCATAGTGCAAAGCCGTGCGGCCCTTCTTGTCCTTCGCGTTGATGTCAACTCCAGCCTTGAGCATCAAAGAAACACACTCTTGCAAGAGCTCCGGCTCCTCTTCTTTGTCTTGAGAGCTCATGATGTAACGGCGTGATGCGCCACAAATGCCGTGCAAAGCGGTCTGGTTCTTATTCTTGTTCTTCTCTGCCATTCGTCGGCGATTTCTCTCTCGGCAAAACTCCTCACCCTGTGAGGAGGACAAGATACTCGGGTCTGCCCCGGCTTCTAGCAAAGTGATGACAAGTTTGGTATTGGGAGTTCGGGACGCAATATAAAGTGGTGTTTCCCCCCGAACCAGGCGGTTAACATCGACGAGTGGATGTTGGAGTAGCTCATTGAGAATTCCAGGACAACCCCGCGAGTGTTCGTACCTACTCCCCACCGCCCAGCCCAGCGCCCTGCTAGCCATCTCGGCAGTGCTCAGGAATGGGAGGAACGCTCTAGCTGCTGAGGTGTTCCCATGGTCCATGGCATACATCAACGGCGTGTGTCCGATGAATTTGTATGGGTCGCCGCACATGAGCCCCGGATCACATTTCGTCTTCTTGGTCAAGGGATCTACGCCCGCTTCCAAAAGCAAGGTAACAACTTCCCCATGGTCTCTCTCGGCGGCTTTGTGAAGAGGTCTTTTGCCATCATAGTTAGACGGCTCGTCTGGCTTTGCGCCAAAGCCGAGTAGCACTTTGACAACATTCGCATGCCCTGCGTTGGCGGCGTAGAAGATGGCAGTTTCGCCACCCTTATCAAGTGAATTCACATCAATGTTGTTCTCCTGAACAAACTTGGACAGGTATTGGCTGAGTCCTAGCAAGGCAGCGGTGTGTAGATGTTCCCTCTTGCTACCGCCATTGTCAACCAGCACTGAAAGAGGTGTATAATTTTCCTCGGACAGGATTGTGTTGGTGGCGTCATAAAGCTCATCTGAGAACGGGCCACTGTCGTTGGACTTCCTTCCATGAACATGCCAATTGTGCATACTGTATGCGAGAAATGGATAATTCAGGCGGAGCTCTTTGTTGACAGTAGGCATCACATAGTACCGGTCACCCCATTCACTATCCGATTCGTAGTCATCGTCGTCGGGTAGCTTGACCTTTTGCAAGCAGCCGCAGAGGAGATACGATAGACAACATAGCGACAGCCGATTGTGTGTAGAGTTCATCTCCAAGATGGGATAAGCATCGCCACTAGACTCTGCGGTGCGAGTAGAACCATTCAAGAACTCAGTAAAAGAGTGGTGAATGACGCAGACGGTCTCGTCGGGCAGAATCTCCAGCAAGGGGCCGCAAGCCGCTCTAACAAGGTCCTTGAGAGCTTCTAGGCTACCAATCGCTTTAGCCTGTGCCTCTTCGGTGACTCTGATCATCTCGGCAATCTCAAGGAGTCGCAGTGGACGTGAAGCGTGTGTGACAAATGACAAGATGAGAAGTTGGAGGTCGTGAGGAACGCCAGATCGCCGAGCATGTTCGCGGAGCAAGTCGGTATACATGACGTTCAAATCCAGCGGCAGTGTCTTTAGCACCTCTTCCACGTCGGCATTTGCTTCCAAAAAGGCATCCATGGCCAATTTGGCATACAGAAACAGGCCATTGGCGCGTCCTGGAACTGCGCGCTTGATGATCTCTTTTTGTTCTAGGGTGAGAACTTTGGATGTCTTATCTAAGTGATGTGCGACGTAGTTGGCAATATCCTCATCGACGTGCTTCTCATCCAGTCTGATATGCAAGATTGACTCCTGACGCAATGGCCGCTCTACCTTAGGAACAGGGCGGCTAGTGATAATTATTTTGAGGCGAGATGAGCGCCATCTTCCAAGCTCAGCGAGAGCCTGTAAGAAGGCATCCTGATTGCTGTCCATCTCGTCCAGCGCATCAACCACACAATACACCTTAGGAATGTATGCTACTGCACTCTTGATCTCCTGCCACATAGTGGCCATGGGCACGTTGCTCAGCGACTGGCGCTTGTCGACAGATTCCTTGAGTCGGACCTGCAGTGGAGGGCTGTAGCTGAGCAACTGGGCGAGCCAGTCGCGGAGTAAGGCATCGGGCTTGTGATTGGCGTCGATGATTTGGCGGAAGAAGAAGTAGAGCACCGGCGCGCCCTCTTTAGACAAGTGGTTTACCAGAGAACTCGCGATCACAGACTTGCCAGAGCCCGGGATCCCTTTGATCCAGAGCATTCCTTGGTCTTGGCTTTGGTGCCACTCACGGAATGTGGGCGACTCGAGCAGCCACTCTCCGGTGCCTGGCAGGTAGGAAGCCAGATGTTTCTTGAATTCTCCATTTTCGGCGTCGTAAGAGGTGGGCTTAAGCCAGCTTCGGATGGCCTCTTGGACATGGGCGGGTTGAGGGAGGATGTTCTCCTCATTGAAATCACTCACGTCATCGCGACCTATGATCACGGCGTCTTCATTGTCCGAAGAGATTATTTCAGTCCCGGGCTCTCCCTGAGCTTGAGCGTTGGCTAGCGACATCCCTGACACCGATCTCAGGGCCACAGTAGAAGGGTCCAGCTATGTTCCCAGAAGATGTTTGACAAATAGCAGTAACAGCCCAGCTATGTTGGAAAACTCAAGCTGATGCCGAATACACGTAGAGGGAACTGCCTCAAGTAGATATCTTCGTGGCGCAGCCAAGTCGGTCTGAGTTGGCCCCTCACTGCCTTGCCTTCCTGTGACATCCAGTCCTACTACGCCTTACGCTGACGGGATCAACCAGCATTGTCAGAGTTTAGGCCTCATGCACGGCCAATCATAAAACATTCAAGGATGCTGTGGATCCGCCAAAAGAGGGCGTGGCCTGTTGCCTGACAAATCCCACGCTGAAGCCTGGGGTAGGCTCCGATGCCTGCTAATTTGCATGAGATGGCAGCATATTGGAGCTCAAAGGCCGCAAGAATTGGTCCATGGTTAGCCAGTACTAATTACTCTCTGGCAGAGCTTCAGTCTTAGTTTGGGTCACCTGTGACTCATTGAGCTTGGGCTCATACAAGCTTACATTTATTTACGGTAGATTTTGGTCAAGTTGTAGACCCCTGGGCTACCCTGTACCGCGATGATGGGGGCATTTAAGTAGGTGAAATGACAGGTAGCATACCAAAGCTCTTTCTGCGAGAGACAGGGACCCTATTTTTTTAGTTAAATATAATAAGAAGAGAATAATAAGAGGATAGTAAACTCTTCTATAATATTTAGCTTGATATTGTATTTAGTATTGAGTCATTTGTCGTGATATTGTGTCAAAATTCATTACTGAACTATCTCCGCGTGCCATGTTTTATTCACCTGCTTGGCACTTTGGCTTGAAGGTGGCATTCTGCACTGAGTGTAGTTAGGTAACGGTTTAATAGAGAACAGCTTCAATACGTATTAATTGTAGAGCTATGCTAGTAATACACAGATTTACTTCCATCTTAACCGGGTCTTCTCAATTCCTTGCTGCCGACCCTTGTAAACTGACACTTTCTTGGAAGACATAAGTTCCAATTTGAATATCACTCGTCTGACACGACCTCGATTTCAACGTCGAAAACGGCATTCTTGCCTTTGTGCTGATGCTGAGTAACGATCGGTTCGACCAACATCCTCATCTGTCCTTTCACGTAGGCAAAGGCGTCCTCATCCGTAAGATCCAGGCTGCTCTTCAAGCGCAACTCGGGACCAGTCAAATGGAGAACAAGCTTACGAGTTGAGCGTCCTACTTCCGAAGGGAGGTCGGCCTTGAGCTCCGGAAGGGACATCTCATGCAAACTCTTGCGGGGTTTCCAGATTTCGACGCTGTAAGGGCTTCGAGAGTAGACTAAGCGGTACCAGAAGGCAGCGCGAGGCCGATCCTCGCTACTAGATGGTCGGGGGCGTTTTCGTGCGAGTGGGCTCAGGTCGGCAGAGACACCAACTGATGAGGGCTTGCAGGGGGAGATGGCCAGTGTTGTGTCTTGGGGTGCAGGCAGGCTCGCTTCTTGAACCTTGGAAGCTCCGAAAACGTCAACACTGGCACGTTGGGTAGATTTGATCGGCGAAATCACCATTTCCTGGCTTGTTCTTGGATTGCTTTCCGGAAGACCTGGGTTCGTCGTCGGGGTACAAGTCTGCACGGTTGACTTGCGGTACTTCGCCTTTAATAAAGCAGACTGGAACAGAGCCTGGGCTATTAGGAGATGTATGCTAAGAACAAAATGTCAGAAAGTACGCCAAGCACACGGGAGGCAAGGATTTACTCACAGGTCTTGATGCTTAGCCATGGTAACCCCATTACGGTCCTCATTTGAGTCCTCATTGCCCCAAAACTGCGCTCCATGTCGGTCTAGAAATTCGGAAGCAAGACCTTCAAATTTTGAGAAGCATGTCGGCGAGTGCCAATCAGCAATTTGAGTTGGGAGTTGGGTGTCGCCTGCGAATTTGTCCTTTCTGAAGATATTCAATACCCTGCGGAAAAGACTTGTCATTTGATTAGAAACCTTGCCGTCGAGCGTGGACCCTTTGCCAAAGCCCAATTCGTGATATAGAACCTCAACCGGCGGTATTGGTAGGGCCCTAAGAGAGATGCGTTTGTCGGGAATACCATTCTTGACGATGTGGCTGAGATAGATGGTTGAGAATCGAGAGAGGGGGTATGATGAGTCTCTAACCACCAAGACCTGCTCGTCGTCATGGACCTCATTGGCTTCACTTTCAGGATTGTCCATTCTGGAGAATATGCGAGAGTAGATGCTCATTGTTTGAATGTTAAACAAGTGAGAGAGGTGATTGTTGCGGCAGGCTGGATACGAGAGATAATTGTTGTGCTAGCCAGCATGAGGTAGAATCTGACTTCAGTTATTCCACGCAACGGGTGGTTTAGTAGAGAAGAAGTTTAAGCGACTGTTTTCAATAACGTGGAGGTTTGCGTGGTGTTTCCTCGAGCGTGTTGGTGAGAAAGGTACATGGCGGAACCTACAGAATTACACCAACAGCGAAGTACCTAACTCATGAGCCAGGCCATCGTACTCTTTTATCGATTTGCTCCAAGTCTCGTGACAGCCGCAGAATACGACGCGTCAGACCGCGTTCTGTCAACTGAGCAACGCGTCCAAATCTCCCCATGAGTGTAAACGAGTGCTGGCTGCTGCTGCCATCTCTCATCAAGCAGTCACGAAGCTCTCACCTCATTGACGTCATTTTTGGCATCCACAATAATTGTTATCAATTATTCTGGTTCTCGCTCAAGTCAACCCCAGTATTTGGCTTCCAAGAAACAATTTGTAGTGAAACTGCAGCATTATGCGGTTATGCCCTGGCTTTGCTTGCTCTGGCATCCCTCGTCTCTAGAGCTATCTATTAAAATAAGGATACACCAAAGCTCTTTCCGCATGAGACAGGGACCTCGTTTTTAACTAGGTAAACACAATAAGAAGAGAATAAGAAGAGAATAATATAGTATTCTGTAGTATTTAGCTTGATATTGTATTCAGCAATAGGTTATTTATCATGATATGGTATTGAAATTTCAGTACTGAACTATCTTGATAACTACATCATATTTTATTTCACCTAAGGTACTGGATAACTATTCGCAGCTTTTAGGAGTATAATATAAAGAGGTCTGCTAATTACGTGATCGAATTTTCAATCATTTCCTCTCCTATATCTCGAAGCTCTGTCTCATCTAGCCAAGCTCAAGTCTCAAGGCATCGTACTGTACATAAACAGACCCGGGCAGCAGCGCACTCTCTTCGGTTGTCGCGTTGAATGGCAAACTCAAAACAAGCTCGTTTCTCCCCGACTGAAACTGGTCCGCGTCAAAAACAAACTTGTGCTCAATGTTTTGGCACACAACGCTGCTCCGCACTCCACAAGATCCACTTCGCCAGTACGGTATGACCCAAGTCTGCTCGTCCTTGTTGTTCAGATTGACCGTGTATGGGAGGTTGCTCCACCGGTGAAGGTTGCCTCCCCATTTGTCGTTCCCGTTTGCTGTCTTGGTCCCCGCGATCTGCACCGTTAGTGTCCCAAGTTTGGCCCCTTCAAGTTGGCTCTCATTTAGGTCAAAGGTGATGGTCCAGTTGTTCACGTTTTCATAGACAGGGACTGGGCGCACGTAGTCGGCTCGGCCACCGAACGTGCTCCAGTGGATGTAATTCAGATCCAACTTCTCACTGCTCTCCCCAACATGAAAGTTGACGCCCTCGGGGAAGTCGTCGACGAAGTCCCAGTTTCCCCAGTAATTTCGGTATTCTGGAGGCTGGAGAGGCTTTGAAACATCGAGTTGGTAGCCGTGACGGTATTCGCCTGCCGACTTGTCTGGATCACCGATTCGCCAGACCTCATTACCGGCTGATTCCTCTACCCACTCAACACTGAACTCACCGGTATCCGATCGGGAAATTGCGACGTCGTTCTGGATGTACCAGCCAAAAACTCCATCTGCATACACGGTCAAGCGGTATGTTCCTTCCACGACACGAGGAATTTCTACATGACCTGTCGCTTCATCCACGTCCGCCCAATATTGAAACGACCCCGTGTCAAACACATTTAGCTGAAAATCTTGTTTATTCTCCGAAAGGACGGCAATGGGTCGCTTGGCATTGCTGGGAAGCTTGATATTGGCCTTGAACGTTGTTCTTTTTGTGGACGGTACGAAATTAGGCACATGCTGAGCGATACTGTCGTAGAATTCAGCATTCCACTTTGGATCTGCATACTGGGCAGCATTAGCCCGCAGAGACTCCAGCGGCGTCCCGGGATCTCCTTTGTTGAAGTAATAGAATTGCGGTCCGAACGTGCGATCGAAGCCATGAGTGATGTTCGGGACTGGGGCACCATGATGGCCTGATACGATGTAGTTGTAAACAATGCCGTCAACAACCAAGTCAGAATGCAGCGGACCACCGTAGTAGCTTTCTTTGGTATTGAGAACCAGCCATGCACCAAATGTGCTGCCGTCATCACTGGTCGAGCCATCCGAGTATTGCCCGTGCACTTTGTGATCTCTATAGACCTCTGCAAAGCTATATTTGGTAAAGTAATCCGAGTACTGTGAGACGTACTTGTCTGCGGGTGTGTTTCCGAGATAGCTCGTGGCATCTTGGACAGTGATGGCCTTGGAGTATGCGTCTTTGGATGGAATGGGCGCCCAATGACCATCACCGCTGGAGAGGTGCGTCCAAAGAGCAGTATTGGGACGGAAAAGTGTACGCAATTCACCCAAACCTCGAAGAAAAGGGGTCGCTTCGTTGAAGTACGTGACCCGGGAGAACATGTGTAGCCCTGTTTCCCCTTCTCTTAGAAACCAGTATTGGTACAGGCTTTGATTCGTCTGCGCAAAGGTGTCGCCCATGACAATTCCCCCGTACGCTGTTCCCGTCGAGTCGATTCCCTCGATAAGCTGAAATTTTGCAGAGCCTCCGGGTGTCCAGAATCCAGAAGGAGTACATGAGCAGTCGAGATAAGGACCCTTGCCGGCGTTGCCAGAGACCGGCCCGAGCAAGTCCTGGCCATCTAGGAATAGATCGACTACCGCGCCATTGGACTTGGCTACGGCGACCTGAAGCCTATCATTTCGGAGCGTATAGTGGGTAGAGTTCTCAATTGCACTGAGAGTTGCGATGGCGGGGACGACAAGGGTGGCTGCGGCGAGAGCCAGGATCTTGGGTTTGAAGGATACCATTGCGTGTACCTGGTTCCGGTACGTTTCCTGGCTTTGTTGTGGGAATCAACTAGGTAGGACATTTCTACTGATTCCAACTCTGATATATCATTCCAAGCGCAGTTTTCTTGGCTTCCGTCACTCATTTTTGCCGCTTTTGACCCAGAGAATATCACCCGCCATATTATCCCATTGGTGCAGTAACTCAGTAACTTCTCATCTCGGTGCCGGGCTATTTCGGAGCGGACCAATTAATGTAAAGCGAAATCACGGGGTAGCATTGCCCGGATCATCACCATGCGAAGAGATCATTGCAATATTTGTGTGGCTTGTTTTAAACGCGACTTATGTCTTTTCTGGAATTTGAGCACATGTGCTTAGCTTACTGTAAAGACTGAGTTTCACGAGCGACGCACGTGGCGTTTATCTTAGACATAAATATGCCATTTTGAAGTCGACCGATAGAGTTGGGCGGTCTTGCTAATCAGGACTGATTTCTGCTATCGACGTGGACGTCCACTGCATTGATCATCCAGGTACGCCAACACAAGCCAATCCATAACAAGCAGTATCCCCTGTCCTGAAATCAACTTGAAGAGACATATATAATTCATTGAACAGAATTGGTAGGCTGAGGCGGGCTCATCACATCGTAGATTTCAAGCACGTACAGCATATGCTCACTTTGGTTGAATATACAGACTATATGATCTTAGGAATAGGGCAATGTTAGAACTACATAAAACGCAATGAGGGGAATCTTGTATAAGGAAAGGTGAATTCTTAGACGCCGAAGAGCCACATGAGCCATTTCCCGGCTCCGAAAGCAACTCGCGTGGCCTGAAACTTGAGACCTGTAGCGTGGGCTATACCCATCCTCTGATGTGAAGATTTCAGCGTAGCAATAGCCCTCGGAAATGCAAGTTTATCGTATGATTCAACTGCCTCGCGTACTGTCGAGTGCTCCCACAATTTCACCGCTAAATCCCAACCGTCTTTAAGAGCCAAATTGGCACCGTTCCCGGCAAATGGGCTGACAGCGTGATTGCTATCACCAATGAAAACAATTCTTGTGAGGCCATTGGCGTCGTGGACAAACGGCTGCTTATCATGAGCAGGTATCGCGAACACTGTGGACGGATCTGTTGCCTGGATCATCTGCGGGAAAGGTCCATTCAACATGTGGCCGATCTGCTTTGCCTCTTCAATGGTCGCCTTCTTATCATCTTCGCTCTGAGGCTTCTGCCTAGGCTCTGGCTCCTCGCGGCTTATTGCCCAGACAGCACTCGTTTTGTCCACAGGGGACATGAAGCATCCGACTCCTTGCCCGGAGACGGCCATACCCCAGGTTTCATTGATTGGTTCCGGCAGGTTCCCTTCCGGGAATTGACCAATTCCTCCGATCTGGACGACGCCTTGGTAGTTCAGCTCATCATCGGGGCGAACTGATGCGCGGATCTTGCTATGAGCGCCATCTGCAGCAACCAAGAGGTCACATTCTTCCATTCTGGTCCCGCCTTCTGTGTTTGACAGCATGACCTGTACTCGGCTGTCGTCGAGCTGTTTGGCAGAAGTACAAGTAGTGCCCCAACGGATTTCAGTGATCTTCTCTGCTGCTTCAATCAAGATATTCCGCAGGTCCATGCGCCTGATTCTAATACCAGCAGTGGGTAGCCCATCGTGAGGCTTGCGGGTCACACGAAGTAATTCATTCCACTCTGCGTCCCACATACGAAAAGAATTCGTACTGTCCGTTCCTAGCAAGGAGCATTTTAATGCAGCATCAAGAAGGCCGATATCATGAAGGGCCACCAAGCCGCCATTGATATCTAGGCCGTTCAAGGACAGGGAGTAGCCCTCACGTTCCTGGCTAACTTGATTGGGATCACGGTCACAGATGAAAATGCTGGGGAATTTGCCGGCCGAGTAGAGGGGAGATGTGACCCATTGGTGGTGAAGAGCAACAACGAATGCCAAGCCACCGATCCCAGCGCCGGCAACGATGATTCTCTTGTCTTGGAGGTGGTGATAGGGTGGAGAGGCTGTCATCTTTCAAGATTCTTGGTGGTAAGGTAATCCCTTAATGGCGTGGCCAATGTACAAAGGAGCCAACAAATGGTTTTAATCCCTATTAGATGTAAATAAACGACGTCGGTGAATTCTAATCCGCCGTAAGGCTGAAACCACTTCCCGAAAGCTTACGTCACTTGGGGGTTAGTTTGGAACTCTATGGTGATGACTCGCTTGAGGCTTACGACGTCGAAAATAGCTTCTGGGTACCTTATCCTTTAGCACGCATAAGCATGTACTTCTGCTTATCTTGGCCGATCAAAAGCGTCGTGGCTCATTATTGAATGGACGATGCCGACAAGACCCGAAATACCTGAAACATTATCCTGGGCGTTGGTTGTCACAGAATCTAAGGCGGATAAGAGTTCGGCTACAAAGTAAAAATAGCACTGGAAGATGCCCGATCTGACATCTTGACCCGATGAATACGAACGGCAAAAACAAGCTCAGCTAGCCCAAGGCTACAGCGCTATAGCATCAATAGATACTCCTGGATGCTTCAAGCGAGAAATGTCCCCAGCTCTCGCGAATTTGTTAAGCGTGATTCCCTGTGAGAGGAGAGTTTACTTCTCGGTTCCGTCAGTTGTCTTTCCGGTGTAGCACGTTGACGGACAGAAGTAAACCCCGAACGCTGTCCAACTGATGCCTGCGCAGGTCTGGGGTTGGTCTTAGTTACATTGTCAGAGAGCCCATATTGGTCAATACTGTTGTTGATCAACAGCTAGTGGCTCGACTGCGCCGCCGACAGCAAGTTTCACTCCTTTCGCTTAGAAGACAACGAAGCGATATCATCGTGCCCAATGTATTATTATTCACAGGGTACGTAAACAAAAAGGTTCTTCTGCTTGGAAATTCACTCGTCAGCATACACCACTTTTTGGTCAGCTGCACAATGACTGTCATTGCATTGAGAGTGCCCTTTGCGCTTTTCCTGTTGTAGATCCTGTATCTCACTTCTTGGTTCCGGTTATCCGTTGTTTGCAGGGTTCCCTAGTCTCTGGAACGACTTCACCCTCCGATCCTATAACCGAAGGATGAATATCACTGCAGAAATTTACATCATTAAATATGGTGGTAGGGTATCTTAGTGGCCACGATCTACCGCTAGAAAGAATAATTAGACAGGAGTTGAATGAGTAGCGCTCTGAACTTGTAACCAGACAGTTCTTTACTAGTTTCACTTTGTATCCAGTCACGGCGATTCCCAGAAGCGGTGATCTCCATTTTGAGCGGAAACTAAAATCTGCGCCTTGTCATGATGTGTGGGGAAATTCTCCTGCATAACAATATATATTAACGCACACGCTTTTGGGCATGTTATCTATGTACGAGGCGGCTCGGCCACTTCCTGTTCGACTTGGTGGCACTAGCGGAAACCAATAGTACCCCCAAAGACCTATTTCATGTCTATTTTAGGTGGCCTGGATCGCATTCCACGCAGAAAACCCCTTCATGAACTAAGCGAGCTTTCTTCACATGATACGGAGATGAGAGTAGTGGTATAGAGACGTACCTAAGAAAATAGTATAAAAAACGGACGAGTTTCTTCGATAAATACTGAAGAGATCAACCTGATCAGGAGATTCCACTACTTCTCAACAGGATCACACCCCGTCTCCGACCTTTCTTTCGTTCACCACAAGATCACTGAATTTTTTCTCAACCTCAAAACATCAATCACGATGCTTTTTACTCAAGTTTTGGCAATGGGTGTCCTCGGGCTCGCCAGCTCTATTGCTGCCCTTCCAACCGACCCCGCAACCGGCACCGTCGAAGATAGTGTCAGGTCCAGCGAGGATACGGTCAACCTGTATGCTCGCTGCAACCTTCTTAATTGCCCAAAGGGCAAGATATGCATTGGTGGCAAGTGCATCTCAGCATAAAAGATATATCTGCGATACAGGCCATGACCTACAACGTGTTCGTGGAACAGTCTTCATGCGACTTTCGCGGTATTGTCCGGGAAACGGACAAAAATGTGCATCACAAACGCATTGACATCGTACGCTACTTTCGGCGAAACGTACTACGCCAACTTCTTATATTTCACTTTCGAAATACAGAGATTGGATGTATTACCATTTGGTCATTCAAAGAGGCTTTTAGTGGACTAGATCAATGAGTACGATATAAGCGTGATAACAATGGATATTCTTCAACTTATTTTTCCGAGGTTTATATTCTTCCAAAAAAAATCCACTAAAGGGTTTCATCTCTGATGATGGCTTTCGTGTGCTTATTTGTGCGTTTTTGATTCGTGATATCGGCATCTGGCTAGGCTTAATGCCACGTAGAATAATAAGAAATCGCCACCGGGTCTATAGGAGATCATAATTTGTTTGCCAGGGAGATTCATAATAATTGATTTAGTTTTCGCTCAAAAAAAAGTGCATCAATTCCCAGTTCCCTTGGCCTATTTAATCTAGCAACTAAGTTTACCTTCAATCAACCCAAGTCTTTGTAGTAAACATTGCCCAGGGCATAAGGTGGTGAGTGAGCCAAGGCTTCGTTTCCATGAAGTCTTTCGTTGATGTGGCCCTCTTGACAATCTCTACTTCTCCTTTTGAGTGAGTTGAGGTTTGCAGAAAGTTTCAGTGTCCGTCGCTTCTTATTAGTATGTCCATGAATCAAGGACTTGGATGAGTAGTGAATTATCATCTGACCTGACAAGCTGGTTTCTCGCACAACATTCCTTATCCCACGATAAGGGTGATACTCGAAACGTAGAAAATTAGGCGATGGTTGCGAACATCGAACTGTAAAGCCAGATCATGTTTCATATTGCATTTTGCCAATATTGTGTGAGGAGGGGTACTGGAATTTGAATCAACTCATGAGACAAGTTGTAGACCCTATTGTATCATATACCTTGATGTCTTTGAATCTACCGCTAACCTTCGCTCTGAAGGGCAGGCCTAACCCAGAGAATAGCCTCCCTGGCTTGGTCGCTCGCTTGGACAAAGCCACGCGTTCCCTGGTCCATTTTTGAATGCTCGACCGCAAACCAATGCTCCTTAGTGATTTCCATGTACATCCAGCTAATCTTCGGACCAGATGGCTCGACTAAGACACAAAGTTCCCATGAGTCATACTTCAAGATATGTTTGTCGTATGGTGATTTCCAAATACATCGAGCGCATCCTTCTTTTCCGTTGGCAACAGCGAGGTGAAATGCGGAAAGTTGATAAACGTGGGGAATGTCTGTCGGAAAGGATTTCATGGGGCCCTTATTGGCTAACAAGATCTCTAAACAATCTCGGTGACCAAATATCGCGGCGAAATGAGCAGGCACAATATCGGTTGCTGTGGGCAGGCCGGGCCACACTCCATGCGAAAGTAATTCTCTCAGACAACCTGCTGTGCCTTCGCGACATGCTACGTGAATCGGAGCGAGGCCATCTTCGCAGGGAAAATTAGGATTGGCACCATGCGAAAGCAACATTGCCGTGATAGACCCTGAGTGATCGGAGCATGCTGCATGCCAAAGTGGCGTCCTTCCTCGATCGTCAGCGATGTTGCATTGGTTGATCATCGAGGGTTCGTCGTTGCGGAGAATGAATTCAAGCGCAGCCATGTTACCCATGGCGGCAGCCCTGTGAATCGGTCTCTCTCCAAGTCTGTTTTCACGTCGAATGTCATCCCATATATCAAACCTAGGTTCCCACACGTTATAGCTTAGCTTTTCCCAAAACGCGGGGGATGTTGCGTAGGAAGCAGCAAAGTGTATGGGGCGGTCAAAATTAATGGCCGTCGGCTCGTAATAATCAATAGCCGGAGCAGTTTCGGTGAAGGTGGATAGGGAAGCATCAGAGACCGGAACTGGTGGTGAGACCCTGTCTATTACGCCGCAGATGTAGTGGAATATTGTTGGGTCGGGAAGAAGAAGGGCAAGATGGAGACTTGTGAGACGTCTATCCGACTTGCCGCGAAAGTCCATGCCCGCATCAACTAGTTTGCTTACAACGTCCAGGTTGCCACCTAAAACTGCCCATTGAATGGGTTGGAGCTGAAGGAATGAGTCCGGTTTGCTCTCTAAAGCTTTGGCCGCTTCGATACAGTTCTCCATGTCTACTTCGTTCTCTCCACGAAGGACTTGCACGAGTTTGGGTGTCTCCGTCTCACTAGCTGGCAGGGCAGACAAGCAATACTTCAACGCAGACTCGTGGGAGATACCATCGCCATTTCGGGCTTTGATTCGTACTTTAGAGCCGAAGCCCACCCGTGGGAAGACACTTGTTTCGATAGTGTCGATAACTGAAATTTCTTTCATCATCGCAACGACCCCGCGGGACCAGCTATTCCAAACCTGACTCTCCTGTGCGGATAAAGAATCTTTAATTTGATCATGACTACCGGCACTGGGCACGTTCATACGTTCTTCCAGAGGTAGAGTATCTATTGGTATGATTTGGCCATAGACGTCTAGGGTCTGGTTTTTACTTTCCCCAACGGAAGCATCGCCTGATAAGACATGCACCACGATGTCCAGCGTCTTCTTTCGGTTCTGCTCAGTCACAAACACCCAAGGCTTAACGTCGATACCATCAAAGTTGTGTGTAGAAAGGTTTTTATAGTCAATGTTTCCTGATTGAGCTTCATGTGTCGCCCATGAAAACATGCCCTCGGGCAAGAATGTTGCGTTGACCGTCATTATCTGACACCAACTACGGTACTGACGCTCGCTTTGGGCGTGCATCCCGATAGCCACATCCATTGTCACAGAGTACCCATTCTTTGGAATCTCGATGCGAATGATTCCACATGGCAGCCCAAATGTCAAATGCTGAGTTTGCAAGGTCTGAGCCGCCTCTGTCCAGCCGAGCTGGGGCCAAGCATCCTTGATCTTCCATTCGGTAATCTGACTGATGCTGCTCGGGAGCTGTGGCTCGGAGCGGTCCTTCGCGGCCATGATCCGGACTGTCCGAATGTCTGCAGCGGGATTTTGTTTCACAAACACACGCTCGTAGACTCCGCCGTCAAGAAGGCTAATGTTGGGGGCCACGAATGACTTGATATGGGATCCCACACGGGCAAATTGGTTGCCCATGCCCCATATTCTCTTGAGATAGATAACAGGAGACTGCCTCCTCCCCTTCCGGACTCTCTCACAATTCAAAACAACTCGAAAATCAGCCTCAATCATTTGAATTGTAGGACAGGGAAAGAGAAGAAAGCCAACTCCCAGCCCCCGGCTTGTAACTGTTGGTGGTTCATCTGAGAGAGTCAAAGGCATAGTAGTTTCTATATCGCTTTTATCCCAGAATCTACTGGGTGAGTCGGCCAACAGGCCACTCATTTGACTCCACTGGGCCTTGCCGCCGGTGGCATCGGTGTCGTCTAAATCCGTATGCCAGGCAAATATCGACTGATCATCTTCCTTTGCTAGAATGGCCTCTTGCAACCTGATAAAGGATCTCTTACCCTCGCCGTAAAGCAAGGGCATGTTCACGTCGAATATTCCCAGAAGACAATAAGCGATGTCTTCGATGCGTGAGGTCTGTCGATCTGCTGCCCAATGCATTCGTGCAGCAACGCTCACATCTTGAGGACTCAACTCCCCTGTCAGTACCTCAAGTTGGATGCCCGTGATATCTACTAGCAGTTTCGTAAAATCCAGATCCCCTGTTTTTGCTCCAAGATACGTCCAGTCACTGGCCAGAAACTCGACATTTGGAGAGGCAATCAACTCCTGGAGCGTCCATCCTCGCGTAAACCAGCGGCTCTGTCGAAATTTCGAGCCCTGCTGGAAAATATTCTCAGTTCCGGCAGGCGGGACATCAGCTAAATACGCGTAGCAGATATCTGCCTCGGCGTACCAGCGATACATGGAGTTGATTGCCTCCGAGAGCTCAGCACTGCTCGACTTGTCGATGCAGCATGTATCAACCCAAATATGATCATACGCGCCTTGACGAGCGATCATAGTGCTCTTAACAAGTTTGCCAAAGGCTCTCCTCTTATTCTCGCGTATGTCCTTGGGCAACTTGCGGGTAAGGTCCTTCCATGCTGCATCACGTAAATTGGGGTCTTGAAGTTCCTGAATCAAGATCTCGCCATCAGCCCATGTGTGGGATAAAATTGCGTATCGCGGTATGTCGCTCCCATACACCTCGATGACCTCGGCTATCTCCGTATCCAGGAGCCTCATTTTGCCTCCTCTGATAGACGGATGGGTTTAGGTCAACAACGCACGCGTGCATGAGATCACGCCAAATGGGAAAGCAAACACGATGAGGGGTTTAGCTGATCATCGCCAACACGTTCATCACCAACACCTGCACGCACGTGGCACAGCGGCAATGATGGATCCCACGCTGTTTCAGCAAGCGCTGGAAATTCCATATCTCTGAGTTGAATGGCGCCAAAAAAAAATTATCAAGATTTTGGTAAAGACAGTTACTATGTACAGCATACATATCTTTTGCTTGTCCATGATTTTTTTTTTGCATTCATATGTATGCAGATTTGGTGGTTGGAGCGCCATGAATTTGTCAGGTACCAGAACCCGACCATGTGCGTCTGGAGGCAGTGGTATACAGTAAGGAAAGGAATGTCCGATGATTCTTGTGCTGGGCTGAGACGTTCCATGAGAAAGTATTTCCAAATAGTTACCATTGATTAGGGGGCTAGATATAGTTGCATGTTCTAGTTTTCGGTTTGAGAGCGGCTATAAGGATGGCAACTCTGGACAAGCCTATTGTCCTCTGATGTATACGAGATACAGTGCAAGTCATGCAATGAAAGGGGGCCAAGTTGGTCGCAATTCGGTCACCATTCACAGTGGGGGACATTCAGCACAAAGCACAAAGGTCAATCTTCATGCTGTCTCGCTGTATGAATGTTAAGGCAAGCCCTCATTTGGCTAAGAAATAAGTACATCCATATTTGAATTATGAGTAACAGCATGAATACAAGGTGTCTGGCTTCATAACTGGGTTGTGTTCAATAACGATCGGCTCCGACTGAGGTGGCCAGAGCTCGCTAGGCATGTCACCCAAGTCGGTTCCGACCGCCGATCCTCTGGCACTAGGCTTCGTGCCAACCGCCCCTTTCAGTTGAATCGGCAGGCAGACTTAGTGGGTCAGGATGTGTTCCGATCCAATCACTCCAAATACCATGAATCACATTGGCTTGTGTGTTATTGTGTGGCTGCATTACATATTGCCTGGACGAACGGATGTTGCTGCTTCGCTTGAATCTTTCCGGAACTAGCGGAGATTGAGATGCTAGTTTGAAGGGGGGAATGTCACATCCTCCCTGCCCGAGCGAGGTTGGGTCTGTCCTGAGCAGTCTGGGGAAGTCTGGGGAAGTTCTGGGGAACTATAAGAGTTTTCCTCTTCCATTTACATACTCCAGACCGATGCCTTAAGTCTCAACATACACTGTTACTGACTCTCAAAGATTCCTTCATCATTCGATCTCATCTTAATCATTCAAAATGTCCGAGAGAACCGGAAAGACTGACCAAGATGCAAGCGCCGAGGCCATCGATCGTGTCCACACGGCGGCTGCTCTTTCTATTTCTCCGGAACTCTTTGAGCAGCTGTATCTTGCGCCAAAAACAGCCGTTCGTGGGGAGTTGCGGCAGACCTTTGGCAACCCAACCCCGATTGGTGAGTCCCCTGCCTCCATTTACTGATAGCAGCAAAAACTGATATGCGAGATGGTTGTAGCTCTTGGTGGATTCCTTCTTTGTACTACCCCGCTATCGATGATCTTACTGGGATGGCAGGGTGCTGGCGGTATAGCAGGAGCTGCGAACGTGTAAGGCTTCCTGGGAAGCAATGTTTATATGAAGAAATTACTAAACTGGGCTTTCTGCAGGGGTTCCTACTTCTTTCTCGGAGGCTTACTGCTTGTTCTTGGAGGCATTGGCGAATGGATCATTGGTAGGACATCCCCCCCTTTTTCTTGGTGGAAAGTCTAACACTTGCCTTGTAGGAAACACATTCCCTTCGACCGTCTTTTGCACCTTTGGGGGCTTTTGGCTCACGATGGGAGCAACGATCTGTCCCGGATATGGCGCCTATGCCATCTACTCGCCGTCTGGGAGTCCTTCCGAAGGATTAACCGAACCCCAATTCTTTGCGACCTTTTCGTTCTTCCTCATTGGAATGACGATTCTCTGCGCCGTCTATACAATCGCCTCGATCCGAACCAATATCGTTCTTTTTAGCATCCTTTTGCTGCTGGTCCCTTGCTGTAAGTTGGCCAAGAGGGATGTAGGATATTGAGGTCAAACACGATGTGCTGACAATCCCGTTTCTCTGATCGCCATAGTTGCCTGCCTGTCCGCCTCTTTTTTTGCTGTGTCCCGTGGCCAAACCGGGCCCGCTCTAGTTTTCCAGCACGCCGGTGCTGCGCTTCTGCTGGTGGTTTCGCTGTTGGGATGGTACATATTCTTTGCTCTTATCCTTCTATCGGTCGAATTCCCATTCAACCTTCCATTGGGGGATCTGTCAACTCTCGTGTTAGGAATGAAGAAAAGGACTACGGAAAAAGAGCATGTGTAAATTATACGAGAGTTCAGTCGGCGTAGTATAGCAAGGCTGGGGACACGATCATGGAGGAACAACCAAACACGATACAGGGAGAAAATGGAGGATCTAGGAATCCAATTATGGTCTTCGTGGGACAGTTTGTAGGTACCTAGTGTAGTAATCTTCTCGAGAATCATCTGGATGAAGCAGGTAGCGAATGGCAGCTACCTAGTGCTCTTGTATAACCAGGTCATCGAGCAAGCCAAACATGTTGAATAGTCTTTAAAGTGACCGACAGTCTCCCCGGCTTAACTGTGACACAAATGCCATTAGCTACCACGAGTGCCTCGAAATCCTTCTTCATTGATTGGCCTCCTACTACCCACTCCTGGAAGGATCTTCTGTAGGCGGATCTCGTGATGATGAATCGTGTTGCCCCGTGGGGAGAACAAGACCCACAAAGACATCAGACTGTCTCCGCACGGGGAATAGTGTGTCTCGTGGAGGCCACAGCTCTAGCCCCCCCTTTTGGCCCTTCTATTGGTCTGAGGAAGAGGGGTTCGGCGGTACGGATTTCCATAACAGTTTCCAATCCGCCCTCTATCACTTGCTCTTCCGACAAGGCCGCTGAGATCGGTGTTTGTCGTGACTTCTTTTCCCTCGACTTGTGATCTCCCTCCTCTCACACGTTCCCGCCAACCGCAATGGAAAAAAGACGTCAGAACCAGTCCTGCGACCAGTGCCGTCGCTCCAAGAAGGCCTGTGATGGCTATCTTCTGAATAGAAGCCAGCCCTCGCCCGACTCCGGCGCTACAGCCCACGGTAAGTGATCTTCCAGTGCCGCACATATCTTCAGCGCACCGCTGACTGTCAAGATCAAGGGCCCGCAGGATTGCTTCCCTGCTCATACTGTGCCAAGACCAAAAAGCAATGCAGTTTTAACTCACAATGGGCCAGACATACATCGTCGCCTGTTGACCATCCTTCTACCTCGAGCAGTCAAAACCCCACATCTCACCACCCCCACACCAAACGAACGAGATCTGGGTCACATTCAGAATCTGTCGAAGACGTGAACCCCGCTAGCATCTTGCAGTTTTTACAGACGCCCACTTCAAACAACAACTATGACTGGGTGTCACCATATCCCGAACCAGACGTGCCGTCTATCTCCTCCCTAGAGGGCCATCTGGCATCTATTTTCAATCAAGAATCCTTAACAGCAGGATACAACGATTCATTTCTCGGGCTTGATTCTGCGGAGTCCCCCACTGTTTCTCATCCGCTGGAGACTGTTACTCTAGATCAATTTGGTCCATCTACCATTCAAGACGACATATTCAGCCAATCTAATGCAGAGGTCCAAAGCTCAATCTGGAATTCCACCGAGTCACCCCGTCATCTTCAGGAACCCACCATAACAGTGATCTCGTCACCTCGTTCCAGCCACAGCAGTCGCAGCCGGCGCAAGCTCAACTCTGACCAGAACGACGCCACCAAATCGTCCATTTCCCCCTTTACCATAGACAGCGAAATTGTGGCTAAATCAAACAACAACCTCATCACGGAGAGCCTCCTCCGTATCTACCACGATGTCCTTGAAAACAACCTGGCTTGTTGGATCGCGGAGGAGACCTGCCCATTTACCACACGCCAGCGGCAGCGAGCGCCGTTTTCTTTAACAGAGCTGCAACGATATCCTTCTCCGACCGCTGGCTCAAACATCATGTCGGAATGGGGAGCAGTGTGGTCGAATCGAATGTACCGACGAGTAAAGCAACTCGACCGTGTTTCCAGGGCCGCCAAGGTTGTCCATGTAACGCCCTCAGAGAGCCGTGCCGTATCGAAAGCCCTGGACCTTGCGATAGCTGCGTTTGCAACTCAATGGACGCAAAATGATCGTCGACGGAGACAGAGCACCCAACGAAGGCAAGAAGACTCGGATGACGATGAGCAGAGTGACGAGGATGATTTTGAAAACAGCTTCGAGCGAAATCTTCAATACTCGATCTGGGAACAGGCGAGGTCAGCTCTGAAGGGCGTTGCTGAGGTGGAATGCTTCAGGGTCGTGTACGCGGAACTAGTCTTTGGCATGATCCAGAAACCATGGGATGACGTCGAAGCATCCGAGAGCACGTTCAATGACAAGGTGGACGAGTTGAAGTCGACTCTGAACACTATTCTCGCTGGAGATGGTCCGCCAGTGTTCCTGGAACGAGCTGCTCGAAAAATACATGCGCTCAAATTTCGTTTCGAGGCAGCGCAATTAGGATCCCGACCACCGGGGCCAGGATGCTCTGAGAAGCAGCACGCCGCGGCATTAAATCAGATTACCTCAGAGCACCGGGGGACAGTGGGTTTGCTATTCTGGCTGGCGACCATGCTCGACACTGTGTCATCATCGGTGAATCACAGGCCATGCGTCATATCTGATGAAGATAGCCAGCACGAAGAAGATCACGAGGCAGCCATGAAGCAAGGTCGAACTGTAATATTACGGAACAGTAGACGCTGGAAACTGGGTCTCTTTGCACAAGATGACATTGAGAAGCCATCGACACTGCACTGGCCTTGTGCGTACGACGTTGCTACCCAGGCCATTGCCCGCTCGGCAGGTGTCAAAGTCTTATTATTTCGATATGTGTCATACTTCCAAACCGCCATACGGAAGAAAGAAAGCCCACAGGCCATCGAGGATGTCATAAGCTCTACCACGTCCATCTACAGATATTGGAACACGACACACGGCGTGTTCTTCCGAGATCTAACCAAAAATTACGACTCTCTCCCCACGCGAATCAAAAGCTGGTTTCCTTGTATAGACATTCCCTGGCATCTTGGATCTCTCATGGTTGCCGACTTGCTGGAGTTCGTCGATGACAATAACCTCGGATTCGAGGACCGCCGCACCGCAAGGAAAACAGCCAAAGTAGCATCGGCCATCAGGAGAGCAACGTGTATCGAGCTTGCAGACCTGGCGCGAGCGACGCAGCCGGGCCGTCTGAGGGGTTCGGAGCCAGAGCAACTCGCCAATCTTCATTTTGCGATGAACGAGAGCGCACTTCTGGCGGAACCTTGGACCATGTTGCTTGTGAGAGCGTTCGCAAGGGCAGCCATTTTCCACATGGATACGGCAGTGAGTGTGCGAGAGGAGGAGTTGGCTGCTCTTGGCCATGAGACAGGTGAGCTCGAGGTATGGGTCAAGCGTTGCGAGAGCTGCATTGAGTCGTTGTGGTTCCTGGGCAGGAAGTCCGGTATGGCGAGGAGTCTGGCCAAGGTCCTTACTCAGGCACTTAAGACGCAAACCTCTACAGACGAACCTGACCAGGAGCCACGGTTTAGCCACGAAGAGTTGGGCGCTGTGCTTTCATGTTGAAGCCATGGTCAGTTCTGTCTTAGCTTTGTACACATTTTAGTTAGCTTAATACTTCAGCATTGTAAATTCATTCACTTACCCGCGGCAGTCGCACTATTCTTTGCATCTTCTTCGTACTGTTTCCACCGATATTCCTTTTCCACGCCATTTCTTCGTTGCGCCGTATCACACAGCTTTTCATTACCACACTCGCACACGGCAGGCTGTCGCAGCCAGCGGTACGTCAGGCTCCAACGGTCGGTTCTTGGTCTGACAGTACCGTCAGGCAACGTGTCCGTCTTCCTAGACTTTATACCATGTGTCCAATGCAATCTTGAATCTCCGCTCATCTGCATCATGCTCCTTGGCAGGAGGTCAACCTCAACCTTGTCTCCTGTCTCACTATCACGGAATACCATCATCAGAGGGCTACCTAGGGACAAAGAATATAGTTGATCGAACGGGCTGTGAGTATCGGCGTGTGGCGGGATGCCTGTACCAGGAGCATAGTATTGCAGGCACACCTGATCAGGGGCGCGGCTCTCCGTCGGCGGCAGGAGAGGCACTAGCCAGTCAGGAAAAGGATTATAGGGAGTTTCTTCGTCGATGCCAAACGTCTTGTAGCTAAAGGTATAGCCATAATGCAATGACAGACGGCCAGACCGGTCCGGCCACTGCAGATCGTTCCGAAAGATGTCGAGGAGCTTGGCTTCGTGCTCAGGCGTGATGAAGTCCGTCTGCATCAAAATGCCAGACGGTCTTATCGGAAGTTCCTCCATTACGGTATGAAGCTAACTTGATTGTGCGTTAGACCCTAGAAAATGAGTTTTCTTATTTTCTCAAATTTTCTACCCAGAGCAGCGAAAATCAGACGATGTTTTAAATCACGTGATTATCCACCATCCTGATTTCTCCACCTTCAAGATGCCCAGGCTTGCCAGATTCGAGACTTGAAAAAGTCTGGAGAAATGAAAAAGCTTACACAATGGCCAATAAATCATTCAATCAAAGCGAGTTAAGCGTGTTATCTATCATTATATTCAATCGGGGAAGACCACCAACTATACACATACTAAATGTACCCAGAATTTATGACCTCGCTTTTTTGCTACCCTACAGCTGAAGTCAATCAACGTCCTTGAACCGGTGGCAGAGAAGAAAATCGTGAAACCAGTATGTCAAGGTGGTATGCACCTAACTCTCCATAATTTATAGGAAAACAAGTGCAGTATGTGCTGTATGGCTGAACATAGAAAGATATAATGTCTCTGCAAATGAAGACACATTCTTCTCTTTCATGCAGAAAGGCTGGGTGGTGCCAAGCTAAATGAGTGTTTCAGTGGTATTCATCCCCTACCTAGGCATAGACAATTTATCTTGTTTGGGGTCTTTGAAAATCAAGGCAAATATTCCAGGTATCTCATCAACGAGATTTTTCATATAGAAGTAGAAAATCATAGACAATAGATCAATCACGTAGATTTGGTTTTATCTTATACTAGGCCATCGTATACAGCGTGTTCACCCACACATGATCCCAAGCTGCTTCTATAACGTTTTATTCTCCTAAAATGGTACTTGTAACTCATATTTTCTCTAATTCGCCTCGCAAATCATCGTAAATTCTAATTACTATATGGGTTGATTGTTTAATTAGATCCAGCTAGCAATGCTGAATAACTGCATTTTCTGTCCAGAAACAGCGTCATTACATTTGCTAAAGAGCGCCAGGTCAACGCTAGATTTGACCGATGGTTGAAACCGTTCTTAGTACCTACAATTGTTGGCATATGAACCTGTACCGATGGCCTAAAACGTAGTCGGTGGGAGTAATATATTTAGGCGACGATTGCTAGAATTATCACGGGCTAGGCAAAAGGTATTCTACATATAGTGAAGGCTGTGGCGGTATTATGTGACAACCTCTTCTTGAGACCAGAACGGAGTGACAGTGGTCATTTTCAAGGGAGAATACTATACACTCCTCCGTGTTGACAGTGGAGAAGCAGGTATTTCGAGCCGATAAATGAGTGCGTCGCTCTTCACATGTGAATACGGGTATCATTTTCGACCTTAACCCGTTGTTTTCCGCACCACCTAAAGCAGGGAACAGGTTAGGCCTGGTAAATGCAACAGGCCAATGACACTAATGTATAGTAATGGTATTCTCATCAATTTACGGCATGGCTTATCAATCTCTTTTACGAAGCATCCACCTGAGGTTAATCAGTTGCCGAATGTGAAATCCCGCAGTCGGAAAGACCAAGCCGTTCGAGGCCTTATTAACGCTACAAAGGTAACATATTTCCCGTTATTCATTTTCAGTCCTGCGGATCTACTCATCAACCATAAACGCCTTAAGCATGCACAGCTTCTTAGTATAGAAATCTTTTTGTCCATAATATCCACTCACACAGCGCTGATGGAACCTCGCTTGGCCAAAGGTGTGATACGAATAGGCGAGCACAGCACCCATGGGCCTCAAATATGCATATAAAAGGGGTCAAAAGCTATCCTTTATTTAGTATATATTGCGGATGAGCTTCGCTAATGCCTTCCATAAGTAGCTAGGTCTGCTAAACATCACATGCATGAGAGGGACGGGAAAGACGAAGCTAACAGATCAAGCACCCGTTCACATCTTATCTGATCCGAATCTCCCTTGTGCCGCAGAGTATAGCGGCGCATCCACTAACGCTGCAACTTGAACGGCGCTGAAGCCTTTTGGGACATTGCCGAAGTCATCTCTTCTGCAAGAGGACAACCTCTGCATACCTCATTAGGGAGGTGAAACTATTTCCCCGGGCGCGAGTCGAAGCGCGCGGACAAAATCTGCGCAATTCAAGGAGGGGTTTACCAACGAGATTTTGTTGTGTGCAAATTGGGTAACCAGCCGAGTTTGCCCGCGTATTCATGCTGCCGCATAAGAAGAACTCTCCTCGCTCGAACGGATGAGAATAATCCACCATGCACGAGTGGCCTACGTATCAAGGTGCTTCCAGCCTTTGACCTCTCCAATGGCGTCCCTACACAGCCAGCCGACAGCGTCCATTCAAGTTTCTAAAAGCCTGGGTGAGGAGGCTGCCTCATTTACTTCGATCAGTCCTATCAGATTGGTTTTGACGGCTATCGGTGTCTTGTTTTCCTGCTTGGTCGTTCCTTTTTGGATAAGCCACACACTTCTGTGGCCTCGGATCAACTACATCGAGAAGGAATATCACAAATTAGTCCCTTTGACTTGGGACATCCTACGAGGTAGTTCCGATATTCTCAACTTCTTGAAGACATCGTACGTTAAATACTATGGAGTGATATGTTATCCGTTGTAGCTGATAGCAAATTCAGAAATCTATTCCACCGTAGGGCACCGCTTCTAGCCACATGGTTCAACTACAAGTGTTATTTCGTCCAAGGGACCGCAAACATCCGCACCACCTTTCAAAACAAGTCTCTGTCCACCTTCTTCTTCCAAGGCATCTTCACACACCGCGTGTTCCTTTTGCCCAAAGAAGACTTGGCGCTTTTCTGGATTGAAGAAGATGCCGACAGTTCCCACCAGCCAACTAAACACGGCGCACAGGAAGTCAGAAACGATTTTGGTGCACGCGGCACCCAGCACATTGAAAATCTGCTTGCGGGCGAGGGCACGAAACGATTCAATCCGAGGTTTGATGAGCACCTGGCTACAAATGTAGCAAGCCTGGATTCTCCTGATGATGGATGGGAGGAATACCCAGACTTGAAAACTGTTCTGGATATTGCCATTAACCGCTCGTTCATCGACACGCTGTGCGGTCCAAGATTACTCTCGGTAAACCCTACTTTTCTTGAAGACTGGCGGTGTGTGCACGACAACATTACATTAATCTTCCTCGGTGTACCACGGTTCTTGTTTCCGCGGTTAATTGGCGCACGCGATCGTTGTCTGCACGCCATCCAGGAGTGGACAGAATGGGCGACATCCAACTTTCACCCAGATTCCATTGCTGAAGATGGTTCTGACCCTTATTGGGGTCACGAGTTCTTCCGTGAAAGAACAGCCATGTACATTGAGGTAGACAAGTTTTCCTTCAAGTCTATCGCTGCTCATAACCTAGGGCTTCTTTGGGGGTAAGTCAGGCTGCCTCAAGGATATTAGAAATGTGAAAAGCTGACTGGATATCAATAGTGGTACCGCGAACCCTACGCCGGCTGCATTTTGGGCTGTTTGGGAAATTTGCAGAGATCCCGAATTGCTTCGACTTGTACGAGAGGAAGCCACAGATTGTCTTCTCCCATCCTCAAGAGACGCGCTTAAATTCGACATGGAAAAATTGTTAAGAAAGCCCGTTCTCCAAGCAGTCTTTGCCGAAACTCTCCGACTAAGAGTTCATGGAATCATCCCTCGCAAGACTCCCCAGGAAGGCGTCAATGTCCGTGGCAGCATCATTCCCAAGCACACGCTGTTCTTCATCAACTCTACCACGCAGCACATGGACCCAAACGTGTGGTGTACTGGAACGGCCAAGGATCACCCCCCCGAGGAGTTCTGGCCGGGCAGGTTCCTGCTGGAGGAAAAGACTAGCAAAGGAAACTTTGTATACAGCATCAGTGGCAAGTCTGGAGCTTGGGTGCCATTTGGTGGTGGATCGCACATGTGTCCAGGACGATTTCTTGCCAGACGCATCATCACTGGCTGTATGGCTCACTTTGTTACTCGTTATGACTGTGAATTCTTGTCTGAGAAGGCGGCTTCGGGGACTCTAGGTATGAGTCTGAAGACATTTGGTTTGGGCACTCTGCATCCTTCTGAAAAGGTGCCGTTCCGAATCAAGGTGAGGGATATCTGGAACAATAACGTGTGAGATAGCACGATAGGTTGAATAAATTCTTGGTCAACATACAAGATCAGCATAATACCTTCGCTAGTAGCTCACACCACTGCGCATTTAGATCTTAAGCTTGACTGCAAGCACATATTCTTAACAGCGATTGACACGGATTGAGAGCAACCATGGTAGCGGTACCTGGCGAATCATATCTTTGATTTGAACCTTTGGCAGTAATGTCAATCCTCGGATGACCGCGGAATCCGAACAGAGCCCCATTGCCGAGGAGGTTACGCAAGCTTGTTCCGAGCCTTCCGTAATTCGTGGTGCTCGGGATCGGAGTTACATTAGCGGGAATGTGTACTTAGCTACTCGGCAATGCGCAGTTCCTCAACCTTACTGAGCTAGACGGAGTTTATGATATATACGGAAGATGCCTATGTAATACTATGATGTGGTCCGGTGTTCATAGAGGCACGTATCGACAACCTGATTGATCTCCCGAGTTCAAATGGCCTTCTCAATTGTTTTATCCCTGCTCTCTGAGCGAGGAATCATACTGTGAACGGTGTGTAAATCTAAGGCGGTGGCACGCTTGATCCTACTGACTCGATTAGCTGTGGTAATATCGGAGACCGAGCAATATACTTGCCTATCAGGCCACAGATATGTCACGGTCACTAGAAATGCCACAAGGCCAAAGAATGCGAGACCGATCTCGCCTGTGACGAGAATGACTGTCTTGGCGAAGGCAGTAAGACGATGACGAAAGCAGGTGTCCCGAAGGTTCGGCGTTCGCTCAACATCATCTAGCAGCTCATTTCTAACCCTATGTGTAAGTCGTGATGAGATGCCTCAGTAGACCTGTGAGAGTGAAGCGTACGCGTCAGCATAGATGTTGCATCGAGATTCTGATCTTAATTCGAGGGCAGCGGGCTCGTGATGATCAAGACGGCCATCGACGTTGGCCGGGATAGGTAGCGAGGAATGGTCGTGAATTACTGCGAGCTTTTCATTGTGGAAAGATGTCGGAGCAGTAAATCCAACGGATAATAAGCAAAGACAAAGAAGAGCATCGGCAGCTCTCATTGTGGCTCCAGAATGTTCATGTGAAATGGTTTGTATTACGAACCAGAGGAAGGTTGAAATGGCAACATTGAAAAATCATGTGGATTGTTGAGATTTAAACCATCTCTCACTCCTTGGTGACGACGCAAAGCTAGTAGATGCAGTTACGCAAGCCCCCAAAAACCAAAGAGGGAGCCCGCCATCGTGGGCGTTATTGCACTTGGTGGTTTGGAGGTCTTGGCGAGCATCGGGTATGATTGGCTCCGGCGTATTATTGTTTACGCTGGCCAGAGTCTAGACTCTAAAAGCCTAATGAGTGGGCATGGGCATATCACCATCTCCCAGGGAGGGATTGGGGCTGTGGCTCGACTGGTCAATGCGCGTTTAATGCAAAGTAATGCTCGCTTAGCCATACAGATAACTGACCAAGCCGATCGTTGCTTGGGATTATGACTTTGTAAATGGAAACCTGACCTATTCTTTCTCTTTCTTATCGTTTGGACTGGTCCTTCTAGCATTCTTTGAGTAAAAGTAAGTGAGTTGCTGCGAGGGTTCTTCTAAGACGGCCTGCAGCCTAACGGCAGTTTTTAATACATGCCGGCCTTTTTTGTCAGGCTATCCTTCCGGCGGCTTTCCTACTTTATTGCCGTCGGAGTTGGTAATGTAGAAACCTCCGGGGATGCCGCCAAGATATGGAAAGGATTTTGTGGACTGCAATATTCCAGCCAACAAGAAAACAGCGTCCAAGTTTAGCTTAAAATTGATCATATTAGTGTATGATCTTGATCGTGTATGTGTTTAGACTTAGATATAGAAGATGCTTAAGAGCCATTGCCTCAGGCCATGTAGCCGCGTGGGACATTGCCAACCAATTACCTACATTGGTCTAAAATTGGCAGTTGTTTAATCAAAATTCTTTCGTGTTAATTATTATCCTTTCATTTCATTCCTAGATTGGAAGGTTAAGTGTGTAAGGAGAAAGCTACTTCATTCTGGAGGAAGGGTGTGCACCAAGTGTTCAACAATCAGGACCTATTCTTGAATGACATTGAACGTATAAGATACTAGCGGGGAGTGAAAGATTCCATCATTCGTTGCTGGAGAGTTAACAATTAAATTGGTAATTGATTAGCTAGACAAGGCTTCAGTCTCGTAAGAAAGCAGAACTTTCCAATAACGTGCAGTTGCGTTAGCATTGAACGAAGTCACCAGCCCAGAATCGGCGACCATTCCAACAACGGCTTAGCATTCTTTCCACTGACATTCTTTCTTTCACTCAACTCTTTTTATAAAGATAGCCTGTAAACACTCATCACATGAAAGGCTGTGGGGAATTGTCATTTCTGGAGAACGAATTTATTGCCAGCTGCATGCATCGTAGCTCAAGAAAAGTGTAGCTGATTCAATTTATTCACTGCGGAACCGCCATTAGTCAAAGGGTCATATATGATGATTTTGCGACTTTTGGGCAAGGTGAGGAGGTCGTTCTTATCAAGTGCACAATTGAAGGGGCACCCAGCTGAATCATTGGGAAAATGCATGTTAAGTTTAAAAGGAAGCAACCAAAGTTTGCATATCTGGATCTTTTGGTGTTAATAACTAGTGTTGATGAAAAATGACTCATGTTTCAGCCATCTCGGCGCCTTGAGATAAGTTTTGACAATTTGTTCTTGTAGACAATGATCAGTTTGCGGTATTATGAAGTTTATGTCTAGTTCCTTGACACTAGTTTTCTTCTTCAATTCCAAGCCACAAGTGACCAGTCTGAGTTTAGAGAGGCTGACCTTCACGTGTGTTGTGAGAATGAGAATTCAATTGGTTAGAATAGCGCGGGTATAAACATCTCGACAAACAAGAATAAAGGGCTCTTGGGGGGCTAATATTTTGAGGCCTTCCTAAAATGAAGAATTCATCAAACTCAATTCTTTCACATTTTAATATGCAATTCATATTTTGTTACTGATTAGAACATTGTAGTCATTGTTATCACAGCAGGATTTTTCAACATCTATCAGAGAGTGCTAGAAAGAGAGTGGCAATTGCTAACTATAATCCAGTACGCACGTATGACTTTGTCAGATAAAGTAGCTCATAATTTCCCGATATTCAATCCTGGCATACATGGATACGCTCAAGAAGTATCTGTAGTGGCACAAATAATACCGACAAACCACAGTCATGATATAATCGGGCACGCATGATCCACACAGTCATCTCTATCTGCCACATACTGTCCACATGCTGGAAGGCAGCTTAGGAACGGCGTCGGCGATGGCTGTGGGCTTCGCAATGCCACTGTTTGCGGCCATCCCCGCAGGGGTTTTCATCGTGCCCAGGGTGGCATTCTGCTGAGGCATCAGTTGCCTCGTCACAGCAGATCTCACAGCCACCAAAGTCATAAACTTCGCAGCCAAATTCTTCCGCGGTTTCCAAAAGCTCAGGGCAATCACGGCGGAATAGGTCCGTAGGTCTAGTGGCAGGAACGGCAATAGCCAGGCCAGCTAAGGCTAGGGTCAAGACATGAATTTTGACCATGGTGTGTCTTAAAGGAGAGGGCGGTTTTGACGAGAGAGTATGTTTTAGAGTTCTTTGATTGTTTGAGCTGAGTTGAATGTGTGGTTGGAAATGGACTGGGACTTGATGCTGGATTTATACTTGTTCGAGTTGAGTGCGAATATCCTCGTAAACTCGTAGGCTATGGCTAATCCTTTGACAAGAACCGTAATGGATCGTCTCACTCATGTCTTTGAACAATGGAAGCAAAAGGATTGAAATGGTAGCATCTAGTGATAGGGTTGCATTATCAGAGAAGATGGATGAGTGAGCGGCTTGTTCCAAGAAGAGACACTCGCTAGTGAGCGAGGCAGGTAGAGCGGATACGGGCAAGGGTTGAGTATAGAACTAGCCATTAGTGATCAAGTACGATAACAAATTGTGGTTAAATTTCTAATTACAAGCTTAAATACTCAACCTATCATGTGTAAGTGACTCCCACACCCTACCATTTCGCCGTGTTCTTTCGAGGTACCTGCCCAAAAGAGGACCCCCGGAGATTGAGTGAAAATAAACTCAAAGTAGAGTTAATATACACGGCGTAGTCCATTTATCTTTCCCTCCATGCAAAGTACTCGATGAGAAGCGGCAGCCGTACCATCGCCTGCTTATAGTATCTCAGGCTAGTCGTCCTACGGAACGCATGCAAAATGTCGAGTTATCTGTACCAAGTCTGTTATCCATTCCTTTTGGTTTTCTTTGATGGCATTTATCAACCGTAGAGCTTCAAGCGGACTAGACGTGAGCCCACCAGTCACCAGCACCTTGATGGTTTTTCCTGTTGTGGCAGGCCAACAAAGGCCCCGGTCATGAGTATCTGCGCCGCAGTCAGAATCACCAGCTTTAGCTGCAGCAATGTCTACCCAACAATGAAGCTGTGACCTTGATGGGTATCTGCAGGTGATTCTGATTGGACACAATTTCCTATCACACCTCACTCACAGTAGCCATGGTTCGTATCTTCAGCTGCCAAGAAGGTAAACTGAGGAAATATTGTCTTGGCCTCCAAGGTTGATCACAAGGTCAGATAATGTGAGTGAATTACACTGTTTGAGCCCCCAGGAGTGGCTTCCTGGCATCTGCTAAACAAGGATGTAAGATGCAAAATCCATGCAAACTGCATGCATTGAAATGCCAGTATTGTTTCAGTGATGGCCTACTATGATGTTGGTTACAAGTGACTTGAACCTGCCAACCATGAGATACAAGCTACAAGTAATAAAACTACAAGAAGGTCGACCATCCCTCCTCAGCAAACTTTTCTCTTCTGCTTATTAACCTTTTCGTGCTGTCTTGAAAACTAGCATCCGTTACTATTCGCCATAATGCGGTCGATTAACGGGACATGGTTAGCTGCACTGGCCTTGAGCTGGACAGGGACGGTACAGGCTCAATCTGAGTGCAGGTAAGCGAACTCCCCTAAATTTGCGTTAGGACGAGCCATCAACTAAACACATGATAGCACAATAACCAAAACATCTTATGCTGTTGCGACAACGGTGACGGATATCTCTAGCTTCCGTTCGTCCCTGAACAGTCGATTCTCTACCCCGGGCGTCTCTTGGTCGGGGGCACGAGTCCCATACTATTCAACCGTGCTTACTGGAGGAAATGGGGTTCCATATACAGGCATATATTACTATGATTCTCATGCTCTTTCAAGCGCTGGGTATGAAGTCATCTCAGCGCCCCATACAACGATAAGCTGTCCTCCAACCACAACTCCCACGCTCCCTCCATCGCCAACAGGATCCGTGTGTTCGCCCCACGGTGATCATTGTACGTGGTCTGCCAGTTCAATCCATATTTTACCTGTATTGCAGCTATCTAATCTTTGCTAGGGCATTGTGATCCCGTTACCACTTCGACCGGGACTCAAGTTCCCACAGAAACGTGCAGCCCCCATGGGGATCACTGGCATTGTCCACCTGGTGTCCCTGAACCGACCACACCTCCACCTACCACTACAACTTCATCTTCAGCTGCGACGGAGTGTGAGCCCCACGGGGACCATTGGCATTGTCCTTCTGGTGTCCCCGAACCCACAACACCTCCACCGACCACTATCAGCACCTCATCAGCCATCAGCTCGTCGTCAGCTATCAGTACGTGCGAGCCTCATGGAGATCATTGGCACTGTCCATCTGGAGTTCCTGAACCTACGACACCACCATCACCAAGTTCTGCTTCCACTTCCACTCTGGGGAAGTGTGAAGCCCACGATGATCACTGGCACTGCCCTCCAGGTGTCCCTGAACCAACTACACCCCCACCAATTACCACCAGCTCCTCGTCAATCGTCAATGAGTGTGAGCCACATGGAGACCATTGGCATTGCCCTTCAGGTGTTCCTCAGCCCACAACGCCACCATCACCAAGTTCTTCCTCCACTTCTATCGCGGATGAGTGTGAGGCTCATGGTGATCATTGGCATTGCCCATCAGGCGTTCCTGAACCAACGACACCGCCAAATACCCTCCCAAATCCCACTACTTTACTATCCATCACAACATCAAGTGGTTCATGCACGGTTCATGGAGACCATTGGCACTGTCCCCCCGGCGTATCAGAACCCGCAACGAAACCAAACACCCTCGGTACTACCAAAGCAACAGGCGAGAATCAATCCACTTTGAAACGAACTTCCTTGTCGGCCACCCAGGAGATCGGGCCTCCTGCCACGAAGACAGCTATTAGTAGTGTAAGCCCTACGGTTGTGCCAGTGTCTGATAGTTCCAAGGTAGATATTTATCGGCAATGGGTTGTAGTTGCTTTTATACCGGCTATCTTCCTCCTTGCATAGGTTCATAGGATTACTTGGTTCTTACTCTAGAGATTGGGCTTCAACAGTGTCTGCTAGTGACTTTTATCGTATATCAAATTCAATTGCATCTACAATGGATTTGCTAGGTATTCTTTACCTGGATAATAATCAAGATCATTTCCCCGCCACACGTGAAGTTTAGTGGGTAACCATGCAAGATCGCAGTGGACCTAGTACTTTCGAGTAGTTTCCAATCTTCCCGGTCAGCCGGTGAGTTCCGAATATCGGAGCGAAACGATGTGCTGAAAACTAAGACAATACCGGTTTCAAAGGAAGATATCAAATTCTATGTCACTTCAAGGGCGCCTTTGACTCTTTGCGGTGGGACCGCCCTGCAGAGAACAGCCAAGGTGACGATCTCGGTGCAACATGATTGGCTTGTAATGCCTCAAGGCGTGTTGAACATGATTTGGTGGGTCGACAACCTTCGTATGCTATCTAGACCTATTTGAGTAGTATCTATGCCACAAGCAGATTGTCTAGGCTTGAATGAGTAATAACCCACATGGTGGCCATGTCAAGGTTCATCGATGCTGTGGCGGGTTATCAAACGCTCCTCTTCAATCTTACCCAATCACTCTTCAGCCCATTCTATTCATCGATCGCCCAAGAGATTGTGTCTATCTCTGCCTTTAGGGCGGGATGTCTAGATCCCGCTACAACCACAGACGTCGCTCAGGAAGCCTATCCCGTTCGCCTAATCGTGGTACAAGAGAGGCGGACATCCAGGCTTTGACTCAAGAGCTCCCAGGTGCTTCTCCATCTTTCTTCTTACTTGATAATGACCCCAGCCTCTTTCCCCTTGCAGCGAGTAGCATGCATAGTTCCGGCGAGGGAACCGGGCCTGGACTTCATGCAGACGGCTCGATGTCCTTCCCCGCTTCGCTAGGGCAAGATTTGATATCCAGTGACAATGACCAGTCGACAAACGCCTGGCCAGTCTCCTCTGTTACAACGTGCGATCAGTGTTTAATCGCTGGTCAGGATTGTCAACAACCCACTTCAGGCCCTGCTCAGCGGCCCTGTTCTTCCTGCCTCATTCTTGGTTATCACTGCAGCCTTGTTTATGTCAACACAGCTGGCTTTACAGACGATCTCACTCTTCATGGCGATTTTGAAGAATTTGTCGCCGCATCTTATGGTAGCGTCAGTTCATCAAACAGTGCCAGCCAAGCATCCGATTCCGTACCTCCCCCTGTAAAGATAATTGCAAAGCCACCTCCCAAAATCGGAACCCGTTTCTCCCGCGACTCAACAAAATTCTTGAACCGGTGGCTTTCTAACCATGAGAATCATCCATATCCCAGTCGCGAGGATATCAAAACTCTTCAACTCCAGACAGGATTGAACAAGACCCAGATTCAGAACTGGCTAGCCAATACCAGACGTCGACAGAAAAAGCAAGGAGGCTCAACAGGCCAGTCACGATATGTATATCCTCGAAGTACATCCGAGCCCTTAGATGCTCCCCTTCGCCCAGGCACCCCGGCGATCAGGAATGATAATAACTTCCGAGACAAGAACCCACTTCAACGATGGGTCGAATCACCGCCAGACCGTGAACCTGCCACCGTTAAAGATATCGCCCGAGCTGTGGCTTCCTCACCTCCTCGCCCATCAGGTAAGTGCTCGCATTGAGCAAACTTGTATCCGCGCTGTAGTGTCATACTAAGACTAGGTGCCCTAGATACAGGCAATGACGGGCAACCTGATGGTGACTTGGCCCCGTCCGTGAATGATTCCTCCGCCAGTAGTCGTGGGACATCTAGTGGTAGCTCGCTTGGATCAGCACACTCTCACAGCTCGGGGTCATCATTAGGCGGTCTAGCACCTTTTGCCCGGAAGCGACGACGTTCAAAACGTGCCAGAATCAAAGCCAAGGTATCATCAATCGCGCCAATTCGACAACAACTTTACCAATGCACGTTCTGTACAGAAACTTTCCTGACGAAGCATGACTGGCAACGTCACGAGAAGTCCCTGCATATTCCCTTGGAGCGTTGGGAGTGTTCACCTAATGGACCGCGTGAACGCAACCCAACCACTGGGAAAATTCATTGCGGGTTCTGCGGCGAATTAGATCCCTCCGACTCTCATATCGAGAGCCATCAGCCTAGTTCGTGCCAGGAGCGTGCCTTCAACCGCAAAGACTATCTAAGACAACATTTGCGGCTGGTTCATAAATCGGCATTGATCCGATGGGTTGCTGACATTTGGAAGACCCCAACACCAGAGGTGCGATCTCGTTGCGGGTTCTGTGGAGAGAACCTGAATACATGGGATGAGAGGGTAGAACATCTGGCTGAACACTTCAAATTGGGCTTGACAATGGCTGAGTGGACTGGCGACTGGGGATTCGATGATGCCATTGTTCACACTCTCGAAAACTCCATCCCGCCATGTAAGAAATAAATCAATGTTCTTCTATCCGGTATACACTAATTACCACCTAGATCTTATTCACAATGAACGGACCAGCCCATATCCTTTCGAGGCCAGCAATCAATCGCCTGAGTCTCCTAGAAGCGCATACGAACTACTCACATTGGAGCTCTCTTACTTTGTTGGGAACTACCAGTTCCAGCATGGGAAGCCCCCGGACAATACCACCATGGTTATTGAGGCTTGCCGAATCATATTCGCCTCTGAGATCCTGTCCGTCGATGAAGAGCCTGGCTCGTATCCATCTTGGTTACGGGATTTAATTATGTCAGACCATAACTTAGCGTTCCAAGCAAGGGTTATGCCTATCAGAACTCCCTCCGAGGGTAGGCTCCGTACTTTGCAACTAAGGGGGAAACGAAATTTATTCGAAGACTGCCCACTAGAATCTCAGTTGCGAAGCTTCGTCTCAAACCTTTCCGACAGCGGATACACAGATATCACTGACATGGAGCTTCGAGAGGAGGCATGTCACATTATGAAGCGAGTGGAGGATAGTCTAACCGCCGATTCTAGCTCTGTGTTTAAATGGTTGTTGGGTCAAGTACACATTAAGGTGACATGGCTTGGTGATTTTCGGAAACGAGCAGGTATACCAAGCAGCCATCATGTCGGCATGCCTACCTCGCATGATACGGCAAGCCTTTCCGGTGACCTATTTCCCTTCGAACTTGCTTCCCCCGAGCCTATCTTGGAAGCCAGTCATGGGCTTCAGCTGATGCACAATCAATCCGAGGCGGCTTTCAACCTTCAACGAACCGGTCGATCCTATCCCAGCACCTTCACGAGCTTAAGCCCCTCCTCGGCTGTTTCTCCCAGGCACCTTTCGGTTGTGAACCCTCCCGATATTGACTTCGACTTTCAGTCTAATCTGACAGGCGCACACCAAAGTTCACGTCAATTCGATAATATCAATATAAATCCCGTTGAACCCGAACCATACCAGCGTCCAGAATGGCTGCAGAATGGGAATTACATTCTAAACGACCCAAACTTCCATCGTTGGCTCGGGTTGGAGCTCCAGCGCTGGGTTTTTATCATATCCTCTCCTCAACACCCCAACCCTCGAATACCCTCCGACCAGGAGATCCAAGACCAAGCTCGATGGTTATTATACAACGAGTGAGTAGTATGTTGATGGTGCGAGTTATCATGCTCATTGAAGCTAAATACATTCTCAGTGATGATTCATGGAACCAAACTGCTGCCGACAATCCGGAATGGCTTATGAGATTTAAACGTGACGCAGGCATTGATCAAATGGAAAACAGCAGGATTGGGGGTTCCAGACAGAATTAAAATAAGAAAAATTCGTTTTAAAAGGCGCGATCTATTGTTCGTCTATAAGTGTTATGAACAATCCATTCTATACCCAAAGTCTCTTCACACATCACCTACCACTCCATTGCCGTCGCCATTTTCCACTTCATAAGTCCTTGATCATAATGTGATCTGTTTGGATATCTCCTCCAATATCGAAATCGTGATCCCCAATGACCTTGTAGCCGAGTCGCTCGTAAAATTTCTGGGCAATGTGGTTATCCTCCCAAACGCCAAGCCAGATGTGCTTGAACCCCTGTTCCCTCGCCATTCTCTCCAACTCGAGAGCCAATCGCTTGCCAAGGCCGGTTCCGTGGCACGAGGTGTCCACGTAGATGCGCTGCAGCTCGACCGTATCTGAGATGTTTTCGACGCATGGCTCGCTGCTTCCGCGCGTGAGGAGGGCAAATCCAACCACGGCACCTTCCTCAGTCTCCGCAACAACCATATCTTTGTTGGGGTCGGTGATGTCCTTGATGGTGGCTTCTATGCTGTATGATTCCTCGAGATAGGACTGAAGTTGAGCGGGCGTCACTGAATGCCCAAACGTTGTGCTAAATACCAGTGCGCCTAGTTTTGAGACTTGAGAGGCATCTTGTGTGGTGGCAGGCCGAAGTTTCGTCGGCACAGCAGGTGACACAGCCATAGTAAATGATGTTAGGTGGTGGAAATATTACACCAAGACGAGGACAAGTGAAGAGAAAAGTGAAAAATTACTTGGGCGTGGTCGAAGAAAAAGAGTGTGATAGGGAAATATTTAAAACTTACCCATAGGAGATCAGACTCGGCGAACCCGAAAAAAAAAAATACAAAAAAATAATAAAACAATAAAATCAAATGACTAGAGTAATTAATTGATGGGTTTTCCACGCCGGTCCGGTGGCCGGATCCGGTTCTATTAGTAGCACCGAGAGTAAGCGAGGATGACTGATGGGCAATGACTGATTGGCTGGTTAAACACCCGAAATCGCTGGGCGAGTCAGTCCAGATGAGACTGAAGACTAGAACATAAATACCAGCAAGTCTAAGTTCTAGAATCCACCAGAAGTTGAAGCGCCCTTGCATAGTCCCCAGTCTAAGTCACTCTCAAACAACATTCCATCGAAAGGACCAGCCCAACCCCCTTCAACAATGTATATCCGAGCAGCCCACGCCGAGACCAGCGTCCAGGTGCTACGTCAGCTGGTGCGGGACAACCCTCTCGGGTTTCTGACTACAGCCATTCAGTCGGACGAACATGCCTTTCTTCAGACAAGCCATATTCCCTTTGTCCTTGACGTCGACGATGAGTCCAGTGACAAATCAAGAAGCAGGCTTCGCGGACATTTAGCCCGACAGAACCCGCACAGCAAGGCGATGATTGAGGAATTATCACGGGGTGCAGGCTCAGGCAATGTTCTCGAACGAGACGTACTCGTCATTTTCACTGCCCAACACCATTATGTCACCCCGAAGTTCTATACCGAAACCAAGCCATCAACTGGTAAAGTAGTTCCGACCTGGAACTATTCTGCCGCTCAGATTTATGGCCGCGCAAAGGTGTTCTTCGACTCCAAGTCAGAAGAAACGACGTCATTCCTTGGAAAACAGATTTCGGACCTCACCCACCATGCTGAGACTTCAGTAATGGGCTACACAGGAGGAGACCGGCCCAAAGATTGGAAGGTGACGGACGCGCCTGAGAACTTCATCAACATCCTCAAGAAGAACATTATTGGAATCGAAATCGAAATCGATCGGTTAGAGGGGAAGTTCAAGATGAGCCAGGAAATGGGAAAGGGCGATAGGGAAGGCGTTATTCAAGGGTTCCATGACTTGCAAAGCGACGTTGGGCAGAAGATTAGTGACACGGTAAAGGCGCGCGGGGAGCTTAAAGACCAACAGAGCAAATAGATTACACTGCGTTCTTGCATACATTTATTATTGTACTTATTATTGCAAAGCGAAGCATACCGACTACATAGTGTACATGGTCAGCTACGCAGTCGGATCATTGCGGCTCATGAGCTTTGTCGCCCTTCATTGACACTGACACGCCAATCAGACGATTTATGGCCAGATATTGGATTTATTTTTAAAGAAATATCCCCAGGAGCGACCCAGATTGCCATTCGCCATAGTCATGTCCCGTTGCCATCTCATCGGTGGAACATCTTCATTTTCTCGTAGGAATGCATCTACATCCACAGTAGTGAAGCAGAAACAAGCACAACCGCTTGGGCTAAAGCAATGGAGATACCCAAACTGCCGGCAGCGCTATCCTTGTCATCCTTCGTAGCCGTGGTAGTGGCTGCTGGAGCGGGTGTTGCCAACGAGGCAATCTGGCTTGAGATGCTGGTTGCCTTTGCTGCGTCAATCTTAATGGCGCACGGGTTTCCAGTCCCCTTCCCTAATACTGTGAATGCCGGGCAAGACTCTGTATTGTTGTTGACTTGGACCACTGAACCTTCGAATGGACACTCAGCCGCGTCCAGGATATTGGGGTTCACACCCTCGTCGTCGATGGTGAAAAAGATTCTTCCACTAACATAATACTTTTTCTGTTTGCATTCCTCGAGATCCGGGTACCAGCTCATTGACCAGATAAGCGCGTGCAATCCCCTCCCATCATAGTCCACTCCTTCGCGCCACCTTGTAGCATCCGTGTTTTCTATGACGAAGAATGGATCATCAGTGAAGACTGTGGCATTATACGGGCGTATCCAGTTCATTGTATCGCCAACATCAATTCCGCCCGGGTTGTCCCCCCTGCTGTAAGGCATGATGTATGTTCCGAATCTGAATTTCCCCATTTGACTTGCGACAAGTGGCCTTTGGATCGCCACGACAACGGGAAAGGTGTCCGTGGCATTGTACGTCTCGTTGCGTGGGTAGATGACATCAATCTCAAAGGTGTTTGGTACCCCAGTGGACGTTGCGGGGGTCGAGGCAGTGGCAGCCGACGTTGTCGTGGCACTCGTAGTGGCCTGAGCTTGTCCCAGACTTGACACTGCGGCTGTCACCAGCCATACGGCCGATAATAGCTTAGATGATAGCTGCATGGCGTTATTGTTGAATTTTGACGGCGAAATAGCTTCGTTTGGCTTAAGTCTATGTGAGTCAGCAAGCAGTCATAGTCGTCAGGGGCCCAGGCGCGCTTTAAGTATCGGCAAACGAACATGGTTCTACACAGCTTTGCTTGGCAGTAATTTCCTTGCATTGGCACCTGAGCTCAGGATTCAATTCAATCCGGCCACCCTATTGGTGCATTTCCGACGCTGCGTTGGGTTGGAGAGCCTTCAAGGTGTAGATAGTTGATCAACTACTGAAGACTTTTCCTTGATTCTGTCAATCAAGATCGAATATTGAAGTATTATGAACATGTTTTAGTTATTCCTAAAGATAGACTGTTTTTACTTACGGTGAACATCTGCTCACATGGTTACGGTGGTTGCTTGGCATGAAGGATCCATACAGAGAAGTCACATCATGTCTCGACCATAAGTAGTTCAGCCAAGAGAATGGATACAACAGTCTCGGCACGAGAAAGATTTCGCCACTATCAGAAATCGGTTAGCTACCCAATCGGTACTCAGCCAGCAATTACATCTCCGCTGGGTGGTAACCCCGGCTGAGATGTTTGCTTTCGCCCCTTTAAACCTACTCTCTTCAGCCTGGCCATGTGTTTACCATGCCTGTAAAGATCTGCACAGCCGGTTTTAAATCTGACCTTGCCTAAATTGATGCTACTTGCCTATGAAAATGAGTCCTCAGGACTTCCCTGGAATTTCATTTTATAAGCTTCCTTCGACTTAAATATGTGTTGTTCCAAATCTGCAATATCAACCAGACAATGTCGAACAGTGATTTATGTTAAATAGGACAGAATCATGCAGACGCAAGTGATTTAAAGATCAAATATTGATGCAGACGCTATCTAAATAAATTTCTAGGCATAGTAATTCTCCTCTTAAGTCAAAAAATAAGGCTGACAGAAGTATTTAGAAATGATGTAGGGTAGGCGGATGATCAATCTCGAGGTTTACTTCCGACGACGAACTCAAAACCAAATATGAGCTGTTCAAAATAGTAATTTTGTTTGTCGGTAAACCCACCATACTATTATACTTGAGATCTTAACAGACGGCATGTCTAATAAATCTTAGTCTGGTTGGGGAGCTGAAAAGAGAAACAGCAAGTAGACCTGGTCCAGTGACGCATTCAACGCTTCAGCTCGTCCGAGGGCTGTTCCAATCCGCCAGAGGCAAAAGTATTCCGCGTTGCTCGAGGAAATACGCCATTACATTGCCTCCCATGTATGAGATCGAACAACAAACACTACAAATGATCCTACAGTATTTTCCTTGTATCCTCAAATCACCAAAACCTCTAGCATCAGCATTTGGTCATTCTACTGCTCGCCACCTTATCACTTGAGCGATCTATAGGATTCAGGATTTGCAAAGATGAAACAATAACTTGAGGAGGACAAGCTCCGTCTGGCAGAAAACACAATACTAAAAGTTTACAAACAATGGAGTCATTCGCCTATCACACTTTACAAGTCGTGCCAGCCCCAGGGCCCCGTTTTCGGGAATTGGTGAGTGACATGCTGTGAATCCTTTCGGCATTGTAAAGTGTGACAAATCGCGGATCACCGTCCACTATGGAGCCGCGAACATGTTCATTGAACTCTTAAAATAGAAAACAAACCATCGAGAAGATACCGAATCAACTTATAAAAGAGCTGTAGCATTCATTCAAAAACCGAATATCAAGTTCACAACTACAACATTTCCTTTCCTCTTAAAAACTACAAACAAGAAACACCCAATTTTAAGCCGGCTTCTTAAAATATTCACTTCTCCCACATTCCTCTTCGATTCTAAAAACTCCCATTATTCCTTTTGTTACAATCCAACATCTAAACTCATCCACCATGGTCTCATTCAAGCAACTCAGTGTCGCCGGAGCTGCGCTTCTCACCGTCGCGCCTCAAGCGATTGCGGAACCAATCGAGGCCCCGCCTAAGCACCATCTATCCCAGCTGATCGCTCGCTCCATTGTCGATTCTGCGCCTTCGGAGGCCCTGGAGCTGTGGGCGCGTGATGATCTTGACGGCGATGACCTGGTCAATGCGCTTTCCCGGGCCGTCTCCGACGACGAAACTGTCGCCGAGCTTGCTGCCCGTGGCTTCATGGGCGGGTTCATCCACAAGAACAAGGAACAAGACAAGTCCAAGTATCCTGCCCAGTCCAAGAAGCCAGAGAAGGGGCTCCCCGCTATGCCATCCAGGAAGCAGGCCGAGGCTGGTGTGCGGTATAAGGCTCCCAGCCGATCGTCTACCGGCGGTGGTCGGGCCAGACCTATTCCAAAGAAGGCCCACACTATGAGGCGAGACCTTGCAGACGAGCTCGATGTTCGGGGCCTCATGAGCAAGCTCATCCATAAGAACAAGGAACAAGACAAGTCCAAGTACCCTGCGGCGTCTAAGAAGCCAGAAAAGGGTCTGCCAGCCATGCCTTCCCGAAAGCAGGCTGAAGCTGGTGTCCGATATAAGGCTCCCAGCGGATCCTCTTCCGGTGGTAGAGCTCGACCTGTGCCCAAGAAGGCCAAGACTATCTAGGCAGCGATATCTTAACGAGGTCAGATCAGAAATGTCGAGATCGTTTGACCCTGTAGTACGAATAAGGGATCTTGTCAATGAGTCGATATATCTTCATTCCATGATCCTTGGGCCGACTTTTACTCACAACTTGTCATTGCTTTTATAAGAATTTCATTCCTTCATTATTCGCACATTAATAAATGCATTTTCCTATACTAGGACCTATCTACAGTCTCTCATATGCTTCATGTGCTTTGCCAAGTAGAAACACCGAACGCAGTACTGTCTTTAACTCGCCTCCCACCTTAGACATTTCAATCTGCCCAAATGAAGGCCTCGTAACGTATCTATGACAATGAACAAAGTGCTATGCTCACGAGACAATACGAGTCACTGAAAACAACCCATCAAGTGTCATTCCACCTGCCACTACGGCTGGGAGGAACGTCTGCGGTACTCTCCTCCATGCTCACTAGGTTCTCCATCTTGTCTGCCACGAGGGTTGGAATGCGTGCTCATGGCACTAACTTCGCTGCGTGCCGAAGATACCCTGAAAATAGTCATGTTATTCTCTCGACCCGTCGAGACGCGAGCGACTCCGGGCGTTTCTTCCTCTCCAAGAAGCGGTGGTGCTGTGTGGCCAACTTCCCTGCTAGCTACCCCTTTCTCACCTTTCTCCACATTGCGTTCCCTCGAGAATTTTTCACGTGCCATGAATACTTGAGAGTGCTGGAACCTCTTCTCAAAATAACTGGCGCATCGCTGAGTGCCTTGGCCGTTGATGTGGGTAATTATGAGAATGACCGCCCACACGATTGTGATCGTTGGCAGCACCCACGAGCGTGCTAGGAAGTCCTCAAATCTATCGTCGTTGAACCAGAGTGTTGCTGTAAGACCGACTCCAAGCCCAAGAGCGCTAATGATAATGAGACGGGCGATTTGCCACGCCGTATAACGCCGCTTACGGGCTACTAATGTGAGAAGGACCATCAAGATAATAGCACATCCACATGAAATGTAACCGTAGGCAAACTAACCTTCCGTTAGCTGGTGCCTAAACACTCAAGGGGTTGTGGTGGAGAATTAAGACAGTGATTGACGTACCGCAAGTCGGTATAAGTTCCAGGCCGCCTCTTGCACTTGAAATTGAAAGCCCCCTCCCTTAACAGCCTTTGGGGCGTTGGGGTTTTTCTTTATGATTTCGCTGTCGACCTTGACTCCGAAACTGCCGAAGAGAGCATTTGCCATTGTCACGGCGAGCGTAGTTGCCGAAGTCATGATCGTCGTCAACGCCGCTTTTGCGTCACCTGTAAGGCCATCCAGTGACTTTTGGAGGTCCGTGAGAGAAGACCCCAGGGCATCCAAGCGCCTAAACTCTGGCCAAAAGCTGTCTGGGACCTCGGAGACGTTGCGAATGGCTTCATTGATGGTGTCCCAGGTTCCCTCAATACTTGCGGGGTAGTTTCCAAGGAAATCGGCAACGGAATGGTTGAGCGCGGCTGCAACGGAGGCGCTGGTTGTTGAGTTGTTGATGATGGATGGGTCATCAAGGGGATAAGCAATATCAAGTGCTTTATTAAACTGTCCCACGAGTTTGCCCCAAATCACATATTGTTGGACAGCCTGCAATAGTAGAACGAGAGCAAGGTTGAACGGGAAGTGCAGGGCGGTCCAAATCTGTAAGCGCAGGGGCTGGAGATGGTAGCCGGACCTGATCCAATCGAAATAAACGAGGAATATAAAATAGATTGTTGCAATGGCTGCCGTAACGAGACCGATTGTCCTGGAGTCTGAGTCCAAGTTAAATCTTTTCCTTTAAAGCTTTCATGCGGGCCAGCACTTACCCCATGCATCTGGATTCTTAACAATTGTAACCACGCTCTTCGCGACTTCGCAGATGCTGGCACCTAGAATCATTACCGTCATCAGAGTGAGGCGCTTCATGAGATGTGTTTCAGTGAGGCCGAATGTCGGCGAGACATTAGACAGTAGCAAACTAGCCAGCGCCTCAAATCCAGCGACAAAATACCAAGCCATGAAAGCGTAGCTGTGCTCATCTTCCTGGAAGATGAAAGCAATTCCAAGGAGAATTGCCGCTGAAACGACGTGAAGTGAACCCTGAATGAGGAGTGGCGTGCGGACAGTTTTGAACCTTCGTAGGCTCCATAACGTACAAAAATACTCGGCTGATAGGGAGAAGCGGGATACTGAAAGAATAATAGCTGTTTCTTCTTAGCATAGTATGTTTATTTGATGTCAGGAGGAACTCACATGTCGTTCTCATCGTTTGTGCCTCCTGATCAGTGGTGTCGAACTTGGGAGTAATAACTGTAAAGCCCACGAGAACACCCAGCTGAACAGCTCTCATAGCCCGTGCTATAAATGTTAGCTACGTACCTAACCCATCATCTGTAGTGTGAGAAATTTACCGAATATGCTATCCGTCACAAAGCGAACGTCGTAGAGAGCGACGATGAACCATGTCAGCCATAGAAGACTAAAACAGAAGTTAGAGTTTCAGCCGTTCAACGAATATACATATTATCATACCAAAAATAACCCACGTATGCTTGGAAGCGTGCATGGTTGGTGACGTGATGATTTTCACCAAAGACTTCGTAATTCGCAGCAAAGAAGAGGTCAAGGAAGATCTCAAGAAGAGTAGGTTCTTCGTGTCGCTTGAGCTGCGGCGTATCCTGGAGGCTGTCAGTGCGGTCAGGCGAAAGCCCGTTCGTCTCACTGCCCTCGTCAAATTCGTGATGCTCTACCAGCGGAGTGTCGAACAGGTGGAGCTTGCTCGTGGCAGCTGTTGATGTGTCGCGTCCGTGGTCCTCAGTCGCGGCCATGATATCCAGAAAGGCAATCGATCACTAAAAGGCCCCGAAAAGCAGCTCCTTATATTGCGCGTGAAGGTTCTGATTGATTCATCGAGGAGAGCGCGATGGAAAGCTGTACGACGAGATCAAATGTGGTAGAACCAAGAATGAAAATCCGAAGCATCCCGGGACAAAATTCAAGAGGCAAGTCTGGCCTTTAATTAACTTCAGTCGCACAAGCCACTGATCCACTGCACATCTCATTTAGGATAGACTTTGAATCGTTGAACTGTAAATGTTACCACTGGAATGATGACTTCGTGAGAAGTTAAAAATAGCAAACCGTTTTTATAAAATCCAGCGGTGAAGACAGAAGCATGAGGATATATGCCATGCTCCGTCCATGCAGATGCAATTTATAAGTGACCAGCTGTCAGAAGAAAGAAGGAAACCCTGGCACCAGGTCGAGCTGGCTTCGTAACAAAAGCGTGAGCTGGAAGCGAAACTTACCAGCCACATGTCGTCTAGGCACTTCTGTATGACATTCTCTGGTACTAATTGCACTACAAGGCAGTAGTAACAACATTCCGTCGTCTGTGATCTGCAAATGGTCAGTAGATCTGATTTGTAATAGCTGAGATCGGACAAGGCAAACAATAGCCGATTCAAAACTTGAAAACTTGGGTTCCAGGTAATATATTTCACGGAAGTAATACTTAGCGGTTGCACAGGCGTAATCTCTAGAAATCTAAATTTATGTTACGTGGTCCTTAGAAACGATGATTATTGTGGAATATCTTTGTTTGGAGATTCTAATTGCAGCAACTCAACAACCTTAGAAGGGGCTTTCTAACATATTGATATTGCATCAAGAGCGTTGAGTTTATAGATCCATGCCATCGAGCTTGATCTTGAACAGGAATGAACTCTCAATTTCCTGAGCACGGGATTTGAGCTCATCGACGTCCCAGTTGGCCCAGACATAGCGATTCTTGAGGAACTTGGCCTCCTTGGAAGCAAGCCAAACACAAAATTGACCAGGAAGCTCGGCTAGAGTAAAACATTTGTTAGAAAGGCTGGCAAACATAAAACAGGAATGTAATCTGGAAAGTTAGAGAGTGGTACCTTCATCCTGGGGTGGCGCGCCGTGCTTGGTATTCATGTCCGAAGCCACGACACCTGGCTGTATATTGACAATGTGCATGTCAGGGTTCTCAAACTGCAGGTAATCGAACATCTTGGTCACAGCAATTTTGGTAGCAGCGTAAGCCCAGGTACCGCCGGGTACGGCCTGCATGTGACCGATCCCAGAGGATACGTTAATGATGGTAACATTCGAAGCAAGAAAGGGTTGAGACGCCTGCACAACATTGAGAGCCCCGATGACATTAGTCTGAAGACCATCGCGAATAGCGTCTTCTTTGGAGGAGAGGACGGGGGACATATCGGGCAAGGTGCCAGCGTTGCTAACAAGGATGTCGATTTTGGCGCCGGTCTTGCTGGCAAAGGCGCTAAAGGCAGCAGCCAACGAGTCACGCCTCACAACATCCGCTGTCTCGAACAAGACAGTGGTTGAGCCGTCTGGGTTGGCAGAACGGATCCGCTCGGCGGCCTCCTGGAGGACGTTGAGGCGACGGCCGAGGATGGCGACGAACTTAGCACCAGCCTGAGCATACGCAATTGCAATGGCAACGCCGATGCCAACGCCGCCTCCCGTAACGACCACAAATTTGCCTTTTGCGCTCAACTCGGGGCGTGAAGGAGAAATAGACGCATAAGGCTTGTTGTGCCAAGTCTTTGTGAAGGAGGGGAATTCGGGGAAGCCAGACATGATGCAGGGCAGCACGGATACGGTTGTTGGTGTTTGTTGACAGAGAGTGAGTCGATTTGAGATTGATATTGTCTGGTTCCCATGCCATTTGCCATGGAGGCTCCCTTATTTTATACTTACGCAATAAGCCATTCTCTTCGTTTATCTTTCCTCTATTCCGTAAAATTCTACACATCACGATAGACTGGTGTTGAAAACCACATACTTGGATGAATTTACTAACTCGGTGACAGGAGACTTGGTTCCGGGGCTCGGATGCACCTCTCGGAGGTCCTGTCAATTACCAACCGCCTTATAAATACTCCGAGAGAATGGGAACTTACTTGGACTGGCCTTCTTTAGGTTCGGTCCAGACTTTTAGCCCCGGAAGCAGCACAATTGTCCGAAGACAGTACGACTCTGAGATGACTACTTGGCGGGCCTAGATTAGCCGGCCCCCCTACCTACAGTAGGGGGGGTTAGTAAGTAGTAATTTCACCAGTAACTTATAAAAAAAAAAGTAACCTAGTATACCTACTAAATTAGAAGGCCCCGCAGGTACTAATATTTTATTAAATATCCCTCTTTAGCTATAACCTATATAATTATACTATATAATATAGTCTGCTTATTATAATACTAAGCTACTATAATATAACTATATATCCTATATATTAATATATATCTTATCTAATAAAGAAGCTTTAGATTTACTTTCTTTAAAGCTAAATATACTAATTCTATCTATTTCCTATAATAGTAAATTCTTCTTTATCTTCTAATTACTTTTCTTTATAATAATTAGTTTAATTATACTAATAATATAGAATTTATTATAGACTATTAGCTATATAAATAACTCTAATTACTATAGTTAAAAAGCTAGCTATTTATATAATTAATAGTTTAAAATATATATTTAGCTTATTAATTTTATTAAGTTAAGAAATATATATTTATTTTACTTATAAAACTATAGCTATTAAATAAGATTATCTTTTAAAAAGCCTATATTATTAGAACTAAGGATTTTTAATTCCTTTATACTTATCTCTATAATATTCTTTTAAATAAAGCTTCTAATAATATAAAGCTATTACTATAGGAAAGTCTTTTTAATATAAATAGCTTTCTATTTAATTTATATAGCTTTATCTTCTTATATAGTATAATAATTATAATTATCTATTATAATATAGCTTCTAGTATTACTAGCTATAATTAAACTGAATCTTATTATAATATATCTCTTATCTTATAGCTTTTATCTAGTTAATATCTTCTCCTTCTAATAGTAAAGCTTATTAGAAGCTATAATACTATTTAGCTTAAGAGCCTAACTAATCTTATAGATTTTCTTATAGGTTTATAATACTAAAGGTATTAGCTATAAACCTGAGTTAATTAAGAGTTTAATTTAAAGTTAAATATACTAATAATATCTCTTAATTATAGGGATATTAAGAATTAGTATTAAGATCTCTTTCTATTTAGAATATAGTATTATTTATAGTATTACTTATAGTATTATAATATAACCTAGCTATTATATACTTAGCTATAATTCTTCTAAATCTAAAGCTTCTAATAAGGAAAAATCTATATTAAGTATAGAATCTTTATCTTTATCTCTAACTTTATCTCTAACTTTAATATAGTTTAGAAGTATAACTATATTTATATTTAGAGTTAGAGATAATAGAAGATCCTAGAGTATATCTAAGATAATAGAAGGGTTAAATAGAAAGAGTATAATAGTTAGGTAACTTATACTAGACCTGGTCTAGAGTAGATTAAGATTAAACTAATTAGAGTATTATTCTAAGTAATATAATTAGATTATTATAGGCTATATAATATAAATTACTATTAATATATAAGTATTATAGAACTAGTAATAATAGATATATAGATAAT